AGGAGCGAGGTACTCCCTTATCGCAACTGATATCGAGGATCTTCTTAGCAGGATCATTTTAGGGATGTAAATGTCTAACGCGGCGTTCTTTCCGTTTCAGGCCGTCGTGGAGGATCCTTGCAGCCCTCCCGCCATCCTGGAGGAGGCGGAGGTTCCCTTCATCCCGGAACCACCGGCTTCCCCTGCGAGATCGACCACCAGCAGTAGTTCCGGCAGCTACGACCTCGAAGACGCGATGCCTGATCCCGTTCCTGAAATGTTCCAGACCGCTCCTCTCAGCGGACACGCATCGGAAGCCGAGCTCGACCATGATGTCAGATTCCCCAGACTCTGCATGTTCAGCTGTCGTCTAGTTCAGAAATCCCGCAGGACCTCCAGTGTGGACGAAACGCTTCCAAAAACCTAAAATTCCATAATAAACGTTAAGGGGACCTGAAAGTGGCATCTGAGAGATCAGTCGTTTATAAAACTGTTTTTCAAACAAGGATACCGAATCGCTTTAAACTTTACAACGTGAACATCGAGACTACGAGGAAAGTCTTGACACTCAGAAAATATTTCTTACACATAATTCTTTAAATTGTATAACAATTTTTCTAAATTAAAATTACATGGGCATCAGGACCTTCTTCATACTTCATCAAAAATTCATAAAGGAAATCTCTTTTGAGGTCACTTTCTCATCACCTTAAAACATGTTAACTTTTGACGAAAGGAAATATCTTAAATTTGTTCACTGACCACTGGAGGTTCGTGTCATAAAGTCGCTCAATTTGTCGATTAATCGGGCCGACGAGAAATTTAATCCGCATCCCATAATCACCTGGGGATCTGCATGAACCTCTTCGGCGTTTGTAATGCGTCCATTGGTTTCGGTCAAATTCAGTCGTCCTAATTTCTTCGATTCCAGGAGGGCCATCACTCATCTTCCGGTGGCTACGCCGAGTCTCCGCCGGATCCGCAAATCTGGACCGAAGAGGAGAGGAGGAGGAAGAAGAAGACCTTCACCTTGGACTTCCCTGCTGGTGGAGAGCCCGAAATCGAAAGACCCAGCGAGGTCGCCCTAGACAACATGGACGTGAGTCCGACCCCGAGTCATCGTCATAGGTCCAGGGTGAAGCCAATGACGACCAGGAGTCCGCACAGGAACAACAAGAGGCGGGATTCCCTTCAGCAACAGCTGATCAGGAGTCCTCAGAAAGAGGAGTGGAGGGAGCAGGTCGAAGATGGCACCCACGTGCCCACGTCGGATGATTCCAGCTGCAGCCATCACTATCATCTCCATCACCATCACCATCACGTGCACAGAGACCCTGGAGAGACCTCCAGGCACAGGAGAACCAGAGAGAGTCCTAGAAGGAAAACCGGGAGCTACGTGTCAGCCAGAAGAAGAAGCAACGAGGTAACTTTTAAGCCCGTTGGAAATCCTGGGTGATCAGGGACCTCTTCGGCACCCGACTCTGAAGACGTTGATGTCTCCCCCTAAGATACACAAAATGAAAAAAAGAAAAAACCCTCAGACATCTTTACAAGGCCCAAGAGCCGGATGCGTGGAAATCCCTACACCTTAAGGCGATACGAAAGCGGCATCCGAGTGGTCAATTATATTAAGTAACTTTTCTCCGAACCGAGTGTACCTAATTATCTGAAATTTTTTACACGTCAAAATGGAGGCCCTGAGGAAGGTCGCGACACCAATTAAATTTTATATTTATTTCTTTTTTTTTTACAGAATGTTAAGAACGTGTTTATAAAGAATTTTGAAAGATTAATTACATGGGTAGGATTTTGTAATCATGATTCGGCACAACCGGAGGAAAGTTTTGGAATGGAAACTCTTTTGGATGTCGCTTTTAGGTCGCCTTAATTCTCGTCGTAAGTTCCTGTCGCGGACGGAAGGAATCGGCGCCGAGTCAACAAAGTCCTTGATTTTCTGTAGGATAAGAATGCGGCATTGACAGGTAGCCTGCCAAGAAGAAGGTCTCGAGCAGCCGACGACGCCTCCACGAGCAGGCTGAGTCCCGGTGGTCGGTATCAGAGAAGTCCTGGTCACAATGGCCACACAACAATCATAGTCAAGTCGCCGAGTCCTGAGGCGAGACTCAAGGCACTGTCAGCCGAGTCCTTGAGATCCGTCAGTCCAGGAAGCGACAGTGTCTTCTACAGCGAAGGAGCAGATCATGGCTTCATCGGGACCAGCCTGGAGCCTCTGGACGCGCCACATTGTCGCCATTGTGGAAGAGAGGTGAAAATCTGCAAAACAATAAATCCCTTGGAAAATACCAATCCAGATTTTTTACTTACAAAATGCAAAGGGACATACATTTTTTTAGCCTAGGTGGTAAAAATCGACGCATATCCAGCAAGCACATTAAGCGTAAAATTTTTCTGAACAAAAAAGAATTATTATTACTAATTATTCATTATTTCTATACTACGGTTATTCCGGGGACAATGACACTAACGTACAAATATGAATACAAATAGGTAATTAATTGTACAAAATGTGTTGAATTTTTTTTTCTTGTTCCTTTTTTCGTGGACTCGTGTTCCTTAACTGGCATAAGAAGGCTCGCTTTGGGAATGATGAAGTCATCAGGATGGCGGGATTTTTTGAAAAACTTGAACTTGCTTCCAGGTCCCGGAGGACATAGTGCAGCCTCCGGCAGGATTCGCGGATTCCCCTGAAAGTCACCGATCTTCGGCCACGAAGCACGCGAGTCACAGACTGTACAAGAAGTTCGACAAGCGGTATCGATCGGAAGATCGAGGAGATCGTCGCCATCACAGGAGTCTCGGAGGTCGATCCGACGTCCGGGCGAAGTCCGAGGAAAGGGGAGGAAGGCCCAGCAGCCGCGGGTCCATCGAGGATGGGATCAGAAGGAGACTCCAGGCCAGGAGCACCGACGTCAGCATGGAGATCCTGACGGGTGAGTCCTGGACCGAGGAGGAGCGGACTCGAAATTTGGAGCCGATCCCGAGGGACCAACTCGATCACCCATGATCTAGCTCCTTCCTGGTGTCCCCAGCTCGAGAAGACGAGGACAGCTACGTGGAACCCTACACGAACAACGACTGGATCTACATCGGAGACCTCGAAGAGAGCCACGTCTGGAAGAGGCCCGACAGCAAGGAGGACGAGGAACTCGAGGGAAAGGACCGAAGGGACTCTCAGGAGTCGACGGAGAGCGAGAAGGTCTTCCGAAAGAAGTACCAGGCTGCCACTCACAGAATGGTCCACAGGAAGAGCAGCGGAGAGATGTACAAAAGGATCCAGACCAAGTGTTTTGGTACGTCCGAGAGCGATTTCCGAAATTTCAGGGAATTGCACTTTACTCAACCTAAAGGATCCATTTTTTCCCCTGATCTCAGGATGCAAGCAAAATCGGTCTTGGTCTTGAGAATAGCTCGAAGAATCTAAAAAGTGCGAACGGTATAAATTTAAACGATCAAGACCAAGAGTACGAGACCAGGTTCGATTTTTCTCACCACTGATCTCGAAGGGGTGTTCAAGAGTCGACCTTAATTTTTCGATTTTTTTTTTTCCAGTTCGTATGATCAACTTTCGCATGATGTTGCCAATATGATTTTCGAAAACGACCTCGCAACAATTTTTCATGAGGACCATTTAGCGATAATGCGAAACTTTTCGTGCGGATCTACTTGTGTGGGGAAGAAAAAAATTCGTATTAACTCCGGATTAGGGTCCCTGGACCTAGGGCAGTTATAGAAGAGCCAACTTCACGTGCATACCATTCCCCTAACCTGCCCCTCTAATTTCCAGTTTATTTTCGTGCATGTCTGACGGCATTCGGGGTCCATCCACTGACCACCAGCCGGCCTGCTCGATCGAGGAGTCCAGATCGAGAGTCTCTCCATCTCGATTTATCCCTCCACTCCGAAGCCACCTCGGACGAATCTCGTTCCACTTTTTCCACGTCCTCGCAACCTTCGACTTCGCCGACGTCCTAAGCCCCGAAATAATGGACCGCCATTTGCATCCGCCAGTTTCTGAATGGCTTAGGAATTACGTAAGCCTATAAATACAGCCTTACGTTTTATCCCAGAGGGAGAGAGTATAACGTAACGAATGTGCCCGAAAAACCAAGGCAAAGGGAAGAAATCGTCCGAAATACACGGAATCGCTGGCCGGCTACGTGTTCTTCCCGAATCCCGAATTAGCCTTCGCGTAATATCTGCCTCTAAGAATAATCCGGCGTCGCGACGCCGGTGAGGTCGAGAGTAGGGATGCTCCCTGCTCGAGAGAAGGAGAACCAGAGGAGGTCGAAGGGAGAGAACGAGGAGGGAGGACATCGGAGGGACCCCGAAGAGGAGCTTTTGGCTACAGTCAGTGGGTCAGGGCGTCGGGGCGCATTCCTCGAGGCCATTGCCTGAAAGCTCCCGACCAAGAAGAAGCTCCCCCCAGCTGGGTTTCTTCCTTTTTCGCGCGTCTCTTGGCCGGCTCTTCGTTGCCCTCTTCGGGCTCCTTTTGCGGGCTGCCGGTCTTCCGGGTGTCTGGGAACGGTTCCCCGAAAACATCGCGAGTGCTCATGAGCTTCCTTTTACCCAGGAGGAGGTGCAGGCTGTTCTCCACGTGTTCCCCAAGTCCTCCGCAAACGTTCGCCGGGAAGTCTTCAAGGCAGAAAGCTTTGGAGAGACGAGGCTGCGGTTTTTGAACCCGCGAGTGTTCTTCGGTTGCCTTTTCGCGGCTCAATCCGCTAGTTTCCATTGTGGTTTTCGATCCGCGGCGACGGATAGGGCACTCTTCGAGGCAAACGTTCTCCAAGAAGTGGCTTCAGGGCTTGCGAAAGCTTCGAAGCGACGAGGCAACGCCCTTGGAGTCCCAGAGTGTTCTTCGGCGATCTCTTCGAGTACTTCTCCACCGGTTTCCAAAGTGGTCCGTTGATCTTCGGCAACGGTTGCCGATCGATCTCCAAGAAACTTCCTGAAGAGGTTATCCAGTGTTCCCCGGAAATCATTTGCACTTCGTGCAAGTTCACCAGAGGTTCCTGAAGTCGCAAACGCTCGTCAGCGATTTTCAAAGATAGCTTATCGGAAAGCGTTCGCCAGGCACTCACCAAGCATTTACGAGGATTCCTGGTCCAGGATGGTCTGCAATTCGGGAAGATGTCCAGAGGGCCCTGGAAAGGACGCGTCCTTGAAGTTGGCCCTGGAAGATCTGATGAAGAGCATGTTAAGGGTCTGGTGCAGGGAAGGCCAGGCCCTTAACAGACTAGGAGTACCCGGTAGTTCTCTTCTCCACCTCCTCCAATAACCAAAACGATACTTCTATTATTACCTTACTCACCCCTTCGACTTGACCCATTAGACTTGAACATTTATCACCGGTAAATCGGACTTTATCACCGCGGATCTCAATCCGCGCCGGAGAAAATCCGGGTCAAAAATACATCGGGAGATGTCTCGCGAGAATAGGACACTGGCCAAAAGTCATTGGCATAACTAGACGAAGCACGTGGTTGGAAACGTGCAATCTACGTAAAACGTGGGAACATCCATCCATTCACTTCAGTTAAAGCCGGGGCCACAATGGCCGTCAGAAACCCGCCGCCATTTTCCAATCTGTTCTCCTTTCGCGAGTTATTTCATCAGTTTTTCAATTTTTTTTTCACTTTTTAACTATTCCAGCCACGTGCTGCGGCGATGAAATGATTTCTTTTGAGTAATCCTGAATGATCTATTTTACAGAAAGCGACAAGAGGGTGGTGGTGAGGAGGGAGGTCGGCGGGGAGTTCGGTTTCCGGATCCATGGATCCAAACCGGTGGTGGTTTCCGCTATTGAACCGGACACCCCGGCAGAGAGTTCCGGATTAGAAGTTGGAGACATCATCATGTCGGTCAATGGAAGAGGCGTCATGGACGCGACTCACTCCGAAGTGGTGCGACTGGCCCATTCTGGTACCGACATTTTGGAGCTGGAGGTCGCCAGGACCTGCAACGTCCTGGCTCCCAGGCTCTCCAGACCTGGTCCCAGGGAGGACATCGCGGATGCTCCTCTCTTCTCCGGGTATTTGTGGAGGAAAGCCGCCGTCTCCTCCACTTCTGACAAATGGGTCAGAAGGTGGTTCGCCCTTCGGCGGGACAACTGCCTTTACTACTACAAGACTGACGCAGTACGTTCCTGACAACTGATTTGGTGGCTGGAAATTAATTAACCATTTTTTACTATATAATTTCACATTAGGAACGATATTTGGATACATGTTCTAATGTTCAACGATTGAATTTCGTGGTATACTCACAAGAATACCGATGCAGTATGTTCCTGATGTCTGAATTGAAACCATGGAATTTACTTAACATTTAATATTTAATATTGGAAGTGATAGGAAATTTTTTTTAATTTACCGGGGTATTTTAAATCTTGCGGTGGTAAAATCAGTAATCGCTTGCAGGACTCCCAACCAGTGGGCGCGGTGATGCTCCTGAAGTACGTCGTGGACCCCACACCGGAAGTGAGACCTCACAGCTTCACCATATCCAAAACTGGAGCACCGACCCACCACCTGGCAGCAGATTCGGAAGAGGCAGCTGCCAGATGGAGCGCCGTCATCAGGGAGGCTGTGGAAAGGAACGATCAGGTGAGCTCCTCGGCGGCCATTTTGGTACCGCTCGCGTTTCTCTCGGAATAGCGAGTTCCCCTCGAAAAGGGAAGGATGAGCGATTAATAAGTTTAAGCAGACACTTTTTCTTGCCTTTTCGGTGGTTGATTATAATTTTCCTGGGGTTTTCAGTCCGACACTTGGCTGGACTCCACCCTGAGGACCCAACTGATGCCACCCTCGGCAGTCCAGCGACCCGACTGTTTCGGGTACCTCAGCAAGCAACAGGATCACCACGCCAGGAAATCCTCCTCCATGGGCTGGTCCAGGAGATATTGCGTCCTGAAGGACGCGGCCCTTTACTTCTACGACGACGTTAACGCGGAACGTGCCTTCGGCGTAGCCTGTCTTCATGGTTACAGGGTTCATGGGAGTGCCCCAGGAGCTGGGGGCAGGAAACATGCCTTCGAGCTGCAGCCTCAGGATCCTACCCAGAGGGCGTACACCTTCGCCACCGAGTCGGAGATGGAGAAGAAGAGGTCTCTTCTGGCCATTTTAATATTTCATAGTTTCGTTCAATTTTATATCCTCCACCTTTCTGGCTTTCTACTCATCGGGCTGTTACCTACATCGCGGGTCGTTCCATTTAAAGGGAAGCGAAGCCATTGACCATTTCTGGCTCGCCTCCAATTTTCGCCATCCTTGTACATTTTGCTCTAGTTACCACCTACACCTAGGAACTCCTCTACGAATCTGTTAAACGGAATCAGAAATGAATATTTTTATTATTATTAGGATTTATGAGATCCGAGGAACGTCTTCAGATGTTCAATCTCAAGATGGGTTTAATTCTGCAGAAGCGTCTCGGAGGACGCCATATTGGATTTCCTGAGAATCTCTTTTCGCTCCCTTTTTAGGCTTTAATTAGGTGAGGTAGGGATTCTAATAATTTGAAATTGATTTTAGGTGGTTGGCAGCACTGGAATACTCGATCGATCGATGGATCAAGATAGGCTGACAAATGCAAAGTTAACTTTAACTATGTGAAGTGCGACGCAAGTCATCGAGCTGCGCCCTTGGAAGGAAAACCTGGAAAACGAAAAAACGAATCCTCCGCCGATTTCCCGATACTTCGGCGGCACTTTATCCCGAATCGTAAGCTAATTAACGTTACTTGGAGTTTCTTGTATCAGTGTACCATTGTTATCGGGCATTATTATCAATTATCGTCGTTTACGGTCGACCTGCCTCGCCCTTTCGCAGGGGCGAGATTAATTCGTAATTATTTCCCCTTAAGTCCTCTCTCTTCTCGTGTCTTGCGTACCTTGGATTTAAGCCCTTCGTTTAAGTATCGTCGTAAGCTAGTCTTAAGCTCGCGACGTAAGTTCCAAGTCGAGATCTCTTAATTCCGAAGGTCCAACTTTCGAATCCGCCAGAAGGAACTTAAGTTCCTAAGTTACACTTAGCTACATTTCGTTACGACTTAATAATCGCTTAACTCTTTCGTGAGAGTAAATTAATTTTTAAAGAATATTACGACTTGGGAAAAAAAAGAAATCGAGGATTTAAGGGATCTCGACGTCACTTTAGTCGAGTACTCGTTAAGCACCTAAGTTGCGTTTGGAAATCGCTTAAAATGATATTTAAGGCCCCTTATTTTAAAACAAACTCGCGAGTGACCTTAATTATAAATTTCGCAGCCCGTGGATTAATTTCACGATTTATCTGACGGCTCTCGAGTTTCTTTTTTTTATCTCTGTCTTATCTCGAGGTTACATTAAGTCGGTCGGTTTGTACATTTGAGTGTGCTTGTTAAGCACTTAAGTTAGGCTTGGGTCACTCGAGGAACTATGATTTACGAGAAAAAGCATGTAAACATAAATACGAGAACAAGGGCCGCTCGAGCCGCTCCCACTGGCGGGAAAATTTGAAAAATTTGACCGAAGCGAAATTCCCCCGCACACCAGGCGAGTCCAAAACCGATCTCTATTGATCCCGTTCAACTTTTAATATTTTAAATGGGCTCGGCTTAATTTTAATACCCTGCAAAGTGGAAACGGCCCGAGATCGGCCGACGTGTAAAGTAAAGATAACGTGTTAAAAGTGCGTCTATAAAGTTATTGTTATCGAACGAGTCCAGGAGACGGCAAGCGGGGATTAATCGTTAGGTAACACACTACTCCCATTGCAACTACTACTAATTACGGTTATTAATTAGGCGTGTCGAGAGTGTTTCTGCATGAGGCCGTGTGTGCGTGAGAAAATGGCGTGCGTGGGGACTTTTTTCCGGGGTGGCCGTATAATTGTTGGGGGAATTTAGAATTTCGAATTTCTATGCCCCGCGTTTCGCCGGGGCGGCGACGTTTATAAAAACCGACAGATAAAAGAGAATATTATAATCACGAGTTATAAAATCGGATTGCGAGCCGAAAGTCGGAGCGATCTCTCTCGTCTCGTGTCTTCTTCTTTTCCTTCCCTCCCCGTGTTCCCCTAAAAACCTCCCTTCCTGGTGGTTCTCCCTCGGTGGCCCAAATCGCCGAAAGCTCACACGAAATCGAAGGAGACAGAGACAGAGAGAGAGATGAGATAAGAAGATACCAAGTCATCCGCTCAAAAATCTGAGATAATAATAAAGACTTTAATACCAGTTATTTAATGGCGATTGCCGCAATCAATCATCCCCCCAGTCACATTCGAAAAGGCCGCCGACGTTGCGAGATTTCCCCTTTCGCGCCTCCGCGTCCTGACGCGCCGCCATCTTGGATTTCCTGGGGTCCTCCAAGAACAAGGAATTATTATATTCCCAGACGTATGCTTCTTTCAGATAGGCGGGGCATATTATACGGGAAATAAATCTCGCAGCTCGACGGCGCCGAGCACACCTAGATTTCGATTGAGATGCTGAGAATCGATCGGCCGAGGTCCTCGTCAGTTCTAACGAAACTAGGGATTTTCCACTTTTCCAAACGTCGACCGCGCACAAAGAGTCCACGGGGACACGCCTGGGCCTCGATTTAGGAAGTAAGCAGCATGGGACCTGCGACGAGAATCAAAAGAGAGAAAAGAAAAAAGATAAAACTAATAAGTCGCGCTCCGTTTACACGAGCGACAGGCCGTTCCGAGGTCTCAGGGGCTTTTTCGAAATTCCTGGGCCGAGCTTCCCGAACCTGTCCTCACCTCGACGTATTTCTAAGATTTCGGCTTTCTACGTTGTTACGTTTAGCTGTAATGTTGTCCACGTTGGAATTGCGCATGACGAAGCGAGACGTCTTAACGAATTTTTGAAAAGAAGAGATTAACGCGTCCTTAACGAAGAAAAAAGGAAAAAGGAAAAAGAAATCGAATACCTAATCGGAAGAGCTGGGTCTCCCCGAAGAGTCGCTTTTTGGAAAAGGAAACCTCGAGGGGAAGAAGCTTTCCAAAAGGTGTAGAATTAGGGTGGTCCACCTCCACCTGTCGCAAGAAAATTCCGCGTTTCCTTGCGAATTCAGCTCAAATTTTGAAGAAAAAAAAAAATAAATTAAAGAAAGAAAAACCTCTCCGTTTCACCCTCCATTCTTCCTCGCAGTTTTTTCGAGTGCCATTCTCGGATGGCGTGGAACTCTTGGAAGTGGAAGGAGCGAGAGAGGGTTTAAAGGAATTTTAAAGAGAAACGGATAAAATGGTGAAATCCAAAATCGAATAATGTCCGGAATCATGCGGAATCGATGTAATCGATGTATGTGCTGAAGTCACTATAATCATGTATCGTAGCGGAAAAGTCACTAGGAAACAACTAGCTGCCTGTTTTGAGGCTTTTAGGGGCGTGAACTTGTGTGAGAGCGATTTTGCGGGTCTTAGGTGGATCTGTAAAAGTGAAACTGGTACAAAGTCGTTCCGTAATAGGTACCAAAATGGCTACTAGAGATCCCCAAATGGAGTAACACCGAAGCCCAAGTAACCATTAAAGAGCAAACCCCAACGTCTGAAAATTGCACTTTCGATTGACATCTCGCGTTATAACTCCCCAGGGGAACTATATTTTATTCAGCTGGAGGTGAAACTTCATCTGGGGACTTTTAACAGTTCTGAGGACTGTTAGACGATCGGGGAAGCCAGTAAGAAGACTCTGTGTTTAGAATAAAATTATCAAGTCACATGCTCACGAGAAGTCACTTCGCATCCATGACAGTCAAAAGTAGATGCTTAGAGATCTAGGATAGACTAGGATTTATCTAGAGCCGAAGTCATTCGAACTTACAAAAAAGCTCCCCCATACTTCTCTCCATTCCTGCAAAAAGAAATTCGATCTTTCCTCTACTCCGCAAGTTACACATACCAACACAGGGCGTACCAAAATCCCCGCTATCCTAATTAAAAATGGAGTGAAAAAGTCCCATACAATTCTTTTTTTTCCCACGTTGCATAATATCCCTCTGATTATTTAAAAGAAAAAAGGCAAACCAGGCGCTTCGATTCCAGGAATGACTTTAAATTCCTGGAATACGGGGATCATTTCCCGCTAAGTTGTCCAGTGGTTTCCAATTATTGGAGACCATGCGGAATTATTCTAGAGGTTTTGCGACTCCATTTTAACATGGATAACGAGCGTCGTGGGCACGAATTCTGTTACACCCTGTATACACCTCGCCCGATATATTGCATTCCGCCCGAAAGCTCTAGAATCTCTGCAAGAGAGGATGCGTAAAATGTAACCGAGGCAGAATCCGGCCGACAGTAGACGGTGGTTCAGGCCGCGTCGGTACGTTCTCATTACGCGTCGTGTAGGTATGCGTTCTCCAAGTTCTCCAGGTTCCCCGGGTTCTCCGGGGCCGCTCGTGGCCCGAGGTGGGGGCGGTGGAGGTGGTGGGGCCCAGAGTAGGGCCCCGGTGTTGGGCCCGTTCGTGACGTCGGTGCCCAAAGGCGCTCTTCGTGCCGACCAGGAGAACGGCCTCGCGACGCGAGACGGGAGGGAACTAGTTCAGTGAACAAAACGAACGTCCACGCCGGTTGCACACCGCACGAGAACCCGTGCCCCTAAGCCGGCCGATCGTTTTCCCTTATCCCCGGGTAGACTTCGTTTTTTGGCCGATTCTTTTGACCCCCGCGTCCCGAAACATCTAAAAAAAAAGAACTCAAACGAAGCCCTTTTGAATTACAAGCTTCACACTTTTCGCGAATAAACTCATGATAAAGATATTTCTTTGAGGAATTTAACCATTACCGAGGGATGATTCATTGATGCTTAATCGTTTGAACTTCATTTATCAGGTTGAGGAATAAATTCCCGTAGATTTAATTACGTCAAGTTACGATGAAAACCGAGGGAATTTATTCTTCGGTCTAATAAGACTTCTGCAATTTGTATGATGTTCGGTGTGGTTTATTTCTTTGAGTGGAGGAACATTTAGGTAGGAGGTACGGAGTCCAGTTTGCAGTAGTTTGAAGGGAATCGGAATGTCGTCTCTCTTGTTCGAGTTCCTTTCGAGGATTTAATCCGGCTGGGCGGCAGGTAGAGATCTCCTCGCATTAGGGGAAAAGAGTCTTCCTGTCTTGGCGAGGCGTCGGGTTTATTTAGGAGGGTCCCTTATCACGGCCGTGGAGATAATAGGGCCCCTCGGAGCATCGCCGTGTCCTCGGCACGAGGAGGAGAATCCCCACGAGAATCCTCCGAGAATTTCTCCGTCTCTTACCGTGATTTTGCCGGAATTCTTCCTCGGGCTGTTCCTGTTAATGTCCCGAGGCGAAAAGAGGAATTCGGCAACCAGCAGGAATGCGGAGCCCTCTTCTTGGCGTCTCCCGATTCTTATGCGATTCACAATTCGTCCGAAACTGCCCCATCGGGATGAATTTTCCTTTCAAGAGTTTCTGATTTCCTGGATTTTCATGGTATCCAGAAACTAAGAATATCACCCGTAATTTTGTTGAAAGCAAAATCCACGGAGAGAAATTTATGGAGTTCTTTTGTTTTCTTCGAAGCTTCGTAACTTGAGGATTTTTAAAAGATACTTTTCATATTTTCCATTGTTCTTCCTGTTTTACAGCTCTTCAGCGTTTTGCTCGGAGTTGCGTCTCGGTAGAAAAGAAGTATTTCAGGTCCCGAACGTTGCGCTGGAATGCAGAGTCCTTCCTGTTCATGGTCCTCTTCAAATTTCGCGTGCCCCCCTCCATTCTCCAAATTGCCATACCTGGGCGAAAAAACTAATCGTGGGGAAGAAAATAAACCACCGAGAGGAAGAAAAATATTTACTCTCGTACTCAAGAGCGATTTCATCCACCGCGAAATTAAACTTGGGTAAAAATTGATTTTCAAAAGCAATTTCTTGCAAAAAAACCCGTCCCTCTCTCCTGTGCCTTCCGTGCGCGTATGCGAATATCTTTTTCATTTATTTGAAAGATCTTGTCTTTGGTATCGCGTGAACGCGTGGCCCCCGACGCAGGAATGCACGGTTCCTCCTCCTCGTGGTCCTCTTCGAGTTTCGCGTGCCCCTCAAATTGCCGTACCTGGTCGGAATAACGAATCGGAAGGAAAGGAGAACGAAGGGGACTCCATTAATCCGAAGTCCCCGGAGTCACGGCGAAAAGGATCCGCTACATTCTTGCTCCTCCGAGCTTTTCGGTTTCTCACCCGAGCTTGTATGTACCGCAGTACCACACATCAATTACATCCCTCATAAACGGTCTCTACCAAAATATCCTAATTAATAAACTAATCCCTGGTTGATCCATCCAGTAATCATTTTTCCTTCACATCGGGATAATCAAAAACACACAAGAACTCAATCTTTTTATTAAACGATCGCATGACAATGTACGTGGTCTACCCATTCCTAACCTCGAATCGAGCGGCAACCTGAAAGTTTCGCGATCTTCGTTCGGCATCTCTTCACAAGACTTCCTATTTCCCTCGCGTCGTTGTGCCGAAGATGGACCAGGAGCTCCGAATGTTTTCCCAGCGTGAAGTCGGCTGGGCGTCGGCGGCTGCCGCCGAGAGAGCGAGACTCGATCTCTCGAAGTGCCCCCGGCCTGTGGCGGGGTGCACCGACCGCACGTCCCTGCCCCCCGCTAGTTCCGAGTCCTCCCCTCGCCGCGCGGCCACTGTGCCCTCTCTCTCCGCCGGCCCCTCGCCCGCCGGGGACTCCCCCGCCGCCCGAACCCCCTCCGATGTAAGATCGTCGTCAGTGCCGTCGCAAAGGCGGCACCCTACAGGTGCACTCGCAACCTGTCCTCGTATTTTTCCCGGCATCCATCCTCGCCCTCTCGCTCGTCTCCTGTCCCTGTCTTCCTCTTTCTCCCTCGCTCTCGGTCGCTCCGATGGCGACACAGCGGCCGGCTACCGCGACTTCCGGCCTGCCGTGTCACTTCGCTTCACTGGCCGTTGCCGGTGGAGGGAGGAGAAGGTTTAGCGGCGTTTCCGTAACTCTCTTTTCAGGGGTTATCAGCTATGCTAGGAAGTTCCTTTAACTCCTAAATCTAGATCTCGATTGTTAGTAATCAGTATATGGAGTACTGTTTGTACTTGATCAAGGAAATTATCCATTCGTGGTTGCTCGTGATGCATTTGCGTCTTCATCGCGATGCGACGATCGGCTGCCATTGTTTTGGTTGGACTTCCCTTCGCTCTCGATGATCCTCCGTGGCAAAATCCGTGAAACGAGGGGACCTGGAAGATCAAAGGCGGAAAGTCTAATATTCTTTTCCACGATGGATGTTTATTTCTTACCCGAGGACGTCGGTACATAAGGATACCCCTGTTTACCGTCGATTTTCTCCTCTTCCGCGCTGTTACCTCAACTTTGTCTGCTGCGCCGCCCTACGGACTTATTATTTACATTCTTGCGTACCCTTACTGACCCGGTGATGAAATCTCAGGTTTCAGCGTTGGCCCTACAGAGTGAACGGTTCCCCAGCGGGTTCAACGATAGACCCGAAACGGGGCTCGTCGCACCATGGTACTGCCCTGCATCTCCTGGCATTCCTCCAGCAGTAAACATTGTTCCACTCCATTTTCTAAAAAAACAAAAATTAAAAAATTAAACGAGTAATTACCCTCCCACAACGAAATCCCAATTGACTACAATCCCCAGATTATCCTCAACTCCAACCAATACTCCCAAGAAGAGACTATCTAACCGAATCTAAACCTCCTCAATTTCGAAAAGCCTTAAAAAAATAAAAACACCCCACTAATCGTGCCAACTATTACCTAGTAATAAACCAGACCATAATATCCAACCTCATTACTTCCTTCGTGATTTTTTCGCTTTTTTTTTCTTGGTAAGCGAAAACAGGTAGAAAAGCATGTAATATATTTCTAACCTAGAAAACTATTGGACAAGACATCTCGATACAAATCCTCCTAGGTTGGAGTTCGAGTTGCAGGCAAGAGGGGGGGCCCCGTGGCGCAGAGGCCAGTCCTGCGTCTCCTGGCATTCCCCACCAGGTCTAGAACCTCCAGCGTTCAACCTGCTCCGCTCGTAGGTGTAGGTAGGTTGGTAGGAGCCTACCTACCTGAAGATCAGCCCCCCGCCCGCGCGGCCTCGCCGGGGCCCTCCCTCTCTCTCGGACCACCGGGGCCGAGGGGGCTCGAGGGCCCGCGCGAGCAAGAGGGAGGAACGCCGCGCAGCATCCAGCAGCAGCGCTACTAGCGGCCGCCGAAAGGAAAGACTCCCGCGGCGCCATCTTTGTGTGGCGTCGGTGCGTCCGTGCGTGAGGCGGCCTGCGCGTGGGAGTGCAGAGGAAGCCTACCTGACGGCGTCGGACACGCAGTAAACCTTCGGGCCTCTCGCGGAACGACCGGACCAGTCGCGCCGCGTCCAGGACCCGTCCGTCGCGCCCTGAGCCCGCGAAAACGCGCGCGTGACCCCGCGACCGCGCGCCAGCCAATCGGAGGGCGGCCAGGGTGACCCGGGCGCGGCCGAGAGGTCGCCCGGAGTGGGCCCCGCGCACCGCGCCCTGATTGGTCCTTTCCGCAGGACCGGGCGTGCGCATTAGCCGCGGCCCACTGCGAAACCGCCGCTCCGAAATCGCCGACCTGGAGGTCCTAGCGCAATGCCTGCACCAATTGACTAAGCCGTGCCCAGGGAAGGACACTTCTTAGGTGAGTCCCGAGGGACCTCCACGCGACCCATGCCTCGAGAGCAGCTCCCGAGGAGAGGCTCTCGACTTCAGGAAACCCTGGGACCTTCTCGGCAAGGTCCTCGAGGCGCTCCTCGGAGAGGTGTGTGCGCGGTCCCCGCGGAGGTCGCGATCCAAGATGGCCGCCGCGCCGCCATGACGGTCCGCGGTAGCCATGTTGGCAGGTGTGCTCCGCGCCGCGCCAGGAGGCCCATGCCCGGTTTAGAAACGCAGATCCCGGCGAGGAGGTCGAGAACTCCCTCGCTGAAGACCTCGGGCACCAGGGACACGTCTTTCCCCGGGTTCCGGGGGACCGTGGGCGCCGCCATCTTGACTCCGAGGCGAATTCTCCGTGCTCGATGGACCGAGACCGAGTGCTTTCACGTATCGGACTCGATCGGAGGTTCTTTCTTTGCTTCGAGACGGGAAAGGCTGACGCGCCACGAAGCGGGCTTCTGCGGGTTTTTGGTTTGGTGCTCAATTTTTCTTCTTGCCTCGATCCTCCTGTCCTCTTCGTCGCTTCCTGGAGATTTAATTCAATTTACTGTAAATATCCCTGGGAAAGACTGTGGGCGGTGGGTATCTAAAGGAGGTGCAGAATGTACTTTTTCTTTACTTACGGGTTGTTTTAGAGATTACGGGGTTTAGGTGATAACGGAGTCGAGATACGAAGTGTGCTCCACTTCTCGCGAGATGGAGATCCCACACAGGCGCCATTGAGGTCTCTCGCTGGATCACACAATGACGCTCTTTGTGGTCCCCCAACGTGTCGATTCTATTTAGAACTCAATCTCTTCCTCTATCCTCGCGCTAACGCCAAGTTTTGCATCCGAAGGACCGAGAATGCCGACGGACCTGGTGGTGACGTCGGCGTCGAGTTCGGAGGACACGAGTCGCGTCAGAGACCTGCTGGGACCGTCTTCAAGACCAGGGCCCTCTTCAAGCGGAGGCTCCGGGAACGGCGGGCCCTCTTCTTCGAGGAGTTTCGACCCCAGCGCCCTGAACGCGTACCACCATCACCACCATGGCCTGGTGGCGGGGCTGGGCCATCCGCACCACCGGGAATCCTCTGCCTTCGTCCCGGTGGTTCCATCCAGGCTCCACCTGGCCCCGTACCCTGGGGACATGCACCCTCACCTGCCTGGGGGTCCATCCTCCTCATCCAGCTCGAGCAACGAGCACGATGGCCCAGAGAACCCCTCCAGGAAGTCATCCACCAGCTATGAGATCATGGCGATGATGGCCGATAAAAGGAAGGAGCTGGCCGCCAGGGCTATCCTGCTTCCGCCACCTCCTCTTCTGGAACCTCCTCCAGGATATCCGGTCTTCGCTGGCCCTTTTCCTGGAAGCTCCGGCCTCTATCCTCCTGGTGGACCCCTCGCCCACCAGCACCTCGACAGACGTCTCCTCAGGGCGCCCGGCCGCGCCTCCAGACCCAAGAAACAGTTCATCTGTAAGTTCTGCAACCGGCAGTTCACCAAGTCCTACAACCTCCTCATCCACGAGAGGACCCACACCGACGAGAGGCCGTATTCCTGCGACATCTGCGGGAAGGCCTTCAGGAGGCAAGATCATCTAAGAGATCATCGGTAAGGAGTCTGATTTCCGGGACTTCGTGGTCTTGCCGAGGTGGCTTCAAACGGAGTTGGACAAAATGAACGCATCTCTTATGCGGTCATTCAAGTCACTAGCCCTAAGAGATTTTTTCAAAGGGGTCGTAATGATGCCCAAGTAGTCATATGTCCCATTTAACGTCAAATTACGTCTTTTAGCCGTTTAAGGACTACGGATAAGATGTCTTGGTGCTAAATATAAGATCTGAGGATGGACGTTGATTAAAAGTCTGGTCGATATAAGGACGAAGGATTTATCGAACCCCTTGATTCCAGGTACATCCATAGCAAGGAAAAGCCCTTCAAGTGCGGGGAATGTGGAAAGGGCTTCTGCCAGAGCAGGACCCTGGCGGTGCACAAGATCCTGCACATGGAGGAGTCGCCCCACAAGTGCCCGGTCTGCGCCAGGAGCTTCAACCAGAGGAGCAACCTGAAGACTCACCTGCTCACCCACACCGACCACAAGCCTTACGAGTGCACGTCCTGCGGCAAGGTCTTCCGCAGGAACTGCGACCTCCGGAGGCACGCCCTTACGCACGCGGTTGGAGACGTTCCTCCAGAAGCCTTGGAAGAGGCTCTTCGAGACGACGACAGTCCGGAAGAGGACTGCCCGGAGCCTGGACCCTCTTCCTCCTGCTCGTCGTCGGCGCCGTCGACCTCGACGCCATCTTCTTCCTCGAGCGGGTCTTCCGGTTACCCGCCGTCCGCACCTCCGCCGAGCATTCCGCCACCTAGACCGCAATTACAGATTAGGAGGGACCTTCTTCAGGTAAACATATAAAGATCACTCACAATGAGATATCCCGATTTTTCAAATTATCAACATTTAATATTTCCTAGTTATCTGAACGAATATCATACATAATATAATTTTATGTATATACGCCTTTTGCCGGGATCTCGGGAATATATTAAGGATTCTTTTTGGGGCTTTTTAGACGAAGTATCATTTGTATGGATTTGCCTAATCTAATGGGGACGTCGGAATTTATTTGCAGGCGAAGCCTTCGACGATGACCTGCAGCGGAGGAGTCCCCTCCACGCAGAACCCGCCGGCTCAGCTTCCCCCACCACCGCCGCTGATACTGACCTCCTATCGGCGAAGATTGGGCTCCCCAGGACCCTCCAGAGTGCTCTTGGAGCTTCAGGAACGCGAGAGAGAGCGAGAGCGAGAGATGGACAGGCAAAGGGAAAGAGAAAGAGAACGGGAGCGGGAAAGAGAAGGGGAATCCAGATCAACCAGGGCCCCCACCCCGCAGCCTCCACCCCCACCCCCACCACCGAGACCTGCCCCTGCTAGGCAGGGGTTCACAATCGCCGACATTATGCGCCGGTAGGACAGCTTTCTTGAGGAGAAGTCAGAATTTAAACGAATCTACGAGAGCCAATCGAAAAAAAAAAAACGAAAAAAATGGAAAATTTGCCATGAAAGTCCTCTAAGCGATTCTCATCCGCACGTTACCAAGAGATACCCTTGGTACAATTTGCCTTGTACGGCAAGAATTAGGAGGGAAAAAGCTTTCTACCTAACAAGTGCACTTGGAGGAACTTGGAAATTTGTCAATTTTCGTGAAGTGCTATTATATTCGTTGTGCAAATCTTCGTCGGATCGCGTCGATGTGTTCGGTGGCCGTTGGGCCCGGTTTAAGCGATCCGATGGGAACCACTGTGTGTTCCGCTAAAGAGACTTTTTAAACCTTCTATTGACTTAATTATGCGTGTCCGATGGAGCTTTCGCGAGGGGAGCCCTGTACCGAAACTTGGCAAGCTTCAGGGCAAGATACAGCGGTTCGCAGTCGCCGGTTAAATGGGTTCTAAATACTACTAGTACCTAAGAAAGCAAAATGGCGCCCGAAGCGGGGGGAAGATACGAAGTCCAAAGGGGAACGAAGCCGTCCAAACGCTTTAACGATACATTAAGACCTCATTATAAAGAGCCAAGGAAAGTGAGAAACGTTTGTGAATGTTAATCAAGCCGATCGAGTGCACGGAGGATTGCCAAATTCACAGTACAGGGTCACCTAGAAGTCAGCGAACGTGCGAGCATCGAACGGTGCAATGTTCACTCCTAAAGAGTCTAAAATGCCGAAAACAGGACATTGAGAATGCAGGATGCGTATTTTTATCGTAGATCCCTTAGATAACCTTACGTTTAGGTCCGTCCTCGTGTAAATAGTAACGCACGCAGCCGTGCAGGTGATTCGTTCAACGAAGACCCGGAATACCTGAAGGATAACAAAATGGCGGCACGAGAAGAGGCGAGGAAAAAGACGCGATCGCAACATACGGGAACTGCTCGTTTTGTTTTTGGTCCCCTTTCACGGCAGAGGCATTGACAGACGCGGAAGGAGATAAACGTAAAAGAGGCCGAGATCCGCGGTATCCATGTAGCTTGTATTCCTTAGGTAGCTCTAAACTTAGGCTAATTCCCATGTAAATAGTAGCACATGTCCCGCGCAGGTGATCCGCGTTCGAGGTTCCGAAATACCTGACGGGCAGGAAATAAGAAGATGGCGGAGCGGGGCGAAAATAAGGCGAGCAAGAAGGGAACGGCGCTGTAAAGATCGCCGAGTTATGGCGGAGAGGAGCGTAATGGTTTCGAGAGCAAAAAAGGGAACGGAAGCCGCCAGGGCCGAGGCCCCCGTAAAAGGTCCTTTGTCCTGGGCCACCGCTGGACCCGGATTTTCTGCCCAGGGGAATGCAAATCCCACCTTGACCTGCAACCTGCGCCACCGAAACGGTGGCAGGTGCTTGTCTTGGCTATCCTGCTTTTCGAGTCGCGGGAAGCCGCCTCGCTTCCAAGAACGCGTCCTTCCAAGATGGCGTCTCTTTCGCACGGCGTAGCGACTTCTTTGTGCCTAGATTATAACGCACGACTTCTCTTCGGCAGGGCCCCGTAATCGTGGAAAATGTCGTTTATCACCGCCACCTTGCAGTCCATAGGGCGAGAGGACCTAGACACTACTTTTTACGTATTTATTAGCGATCCTAGGGCGATCGCTCGGAAGAGGGGGGCCATTACTCGCGCTTCTAAAAATACGCTCTCGCCCGACGCGAGGCCGAATTAATAAGTAGGGAACGACTGTTGCGAACCAAAAAAAAAAAAGAAAAGAAAAAAGATGTGGGTCCCACAACCTGCGCCACCGAAACGGTGGCAGGTACACCGAAGGTGTCCTTCCTCCTTTTTGAGACGCTGAAAACGCGCTACCTGCCGCCCGGACAGCTTCTAAAAATATGTCGACCCTCTTCCAAGATGGCGGCCCTCGCTTTGCCTCGAATGGGCACATTATGGTCCCCTTTGTATCCGAAACGCGCAACCGTGCCTCGTCATCTGGGGTATTATAAAAGCCGGGAAGTACCTCGCTCTTTGTCGCCGGGGAAATGCTAATTTATTACACGCCGAAGAGGGAAGAGAAAATGCAAAGGAACATTCCCCTGGGCAGAAAGCCGCGCAACCGATGAGCTTTGAAATCCAAGGGCCCTAGGAAATGCTTCTCGGGGTCGAAGGTGCTATTACTCGTTACATACATTTTTCTCGGGGGCTACCATGAAAATTGAATTTGCGACGCGAAATGGGAAAGAGGGAGAAGAGTCCCATGTGATAAATTCTAAATCGACTAATCGAAGTCTTCCGTGAGAGAATAGGAAATCTTTTGGAGCCGATTTAACGGTTGTTGCAAAGTGCTCTTGAATATTGTTTATACGCCGCGGTGCCAATGTGTTTCTCAAGATGGATGCGTGAGAGTATGAAAAAGTGAGAGAGAGAGAATACGCGCGTGCACGAGATTTCTGTATTAATATAAACGGAGAGAAGACCTGTTATCGAGTTGAGACTTTAAGATAATTATATATGTACACATATAGATATATATGTATATTTAGTGATATTTTTTATGTACAATGTACAACGAGGCTGGCGCATGATAGATTGCAAAGATGCGCCGGGGCTCCGACTTTTCCTGTTAATTTTTACGGTACGCGTAAGGACCCAGAACTACGATACATAAGTACCTATACTTAATTAGGAACGATAAGGGCACAACCTGTAAATTATATACTAAGATGAACGAAATAAACAGGAAATAAAATTGTTCAATATCTCCCCGGAGTTATTTCGCACTTTTCCGCTCGCAGATGTAGGAGATATATTAGGTCGATGCATAAGTAATGGCGTTTTTTCACATGTTAAGTTACGCGTTAAAGACGCCATTACTTATGCATCAACCCAATATAACACGGGTAATACGACATATTGCCACATTTCTCATTATTTCGGCCAATTCACAAACCTGAGGAGATTATAAATACTTACAGAATGTAGTCAGTACTCCGCTATCGATCACTGCACGTCCTGTACATTCAGTAATAACGAGGGTTCATGTCTACAGGTATAAAACGACCGACAATAACGCGCAGGCCCGGTTTAACATTGTTCCTTTTGCCGGCCTGTAGCTGTAGTCCACATCGACTTTTCGTGGCCGCAACCCCGGCCTCCTTTTGCAGAAGATATTTTTTATAAATTCGTGAAACATGTCCCACGCGACGCCATTGCTTTACTTGAATCTGGGAGGCGAGATGTTGTACGTTCTGCAACAGAGATTGAAGGCTCAACACATAGAACGTTACAAGACAGTACGAGGCTAGTAGAAAGAGAAAAGAATAATAAACGAGTCTTTTCTTACATTTCTATCATAACATGAAGAAAGAATTACCCGGCCCTGTGAATTTTATTGAGAATTTTAAGACTTGCTTGTTAAGATATATTATAGTCTTTTTAAAATGAATATTTATTATTTTAGTTTTGGATGATGTGATCGCTGCCCTGTTAAATCCAAAGGTGATAACCAGTGTGTTGGAGACGACTGAGATCCCCAGCATCCCTTGTCTTCGATCCACCCTGGAGTGCGTAGCTCTTTCTTCGATAATGAGGCTCGATTCACAGAGTATGGGGAAGTTGTTCGATCTGATGATTACAATTGTTAAGTATCAATTTACTGTAGTCACTGGACCTAGAGAACTGATTTTAATTACGCTCAACCACCTTGACTCGCTTCGAGAACTTGTCTGCGAAAAGAATGCTGAAGCCTGCATCGGAGTAGTTCATGGACTGATAACCGATGTATGTGATTGCAATATTACCTAAAATTAATATTAATTCCGTGATAAGAAAGTAGAAAAAGAATTATATTGATTATAGTAATGGAAAAGTAATTGACAGTTAATTTCGTAGCTCTATGGCAATATGACACATGAGAAAATCTGGCAAATAAGAAATGAGTGCCTTAGAGTACTGGAGCCACATAAAATTAGAGTTTCCGTACTCTTGAGGCTCGGTCTGCAGAACAATGACACGACATTCAACGTCACACCGCAGAGATACAATGAAAAGTATTTGGAACAGCGGGAGAAGATAAAGGATTTGAAAATAAAAGATGTTCCCAAGAAACTTTGTGTAGGCTCCCTCGATCCCTTCGGTGATCGAGTAACTGTATTGGGTAGAAATATGTACGAATCTTCATTATCTATATAAGGTAAGAAATAATTAAACATAATTAAATGTAAAACTACTTTGCAGATATTCCTCATCGTATGGTTCTTCAGAGAAACCTATAGAAAACGCTATGAGAACTCAGGATTACGGAGTACAGGCAGAGCTAGGGATGCTTGCGATGCAGTTAGGAACCGAGGAGCCCAAATTGCAAAGGCCCTTTAGCTTGAATCTATTTTCACAAGAGGAACGAGATAATAAAAACAGTAAAACAGAAAATAAAGAAATCACCAAGTGTCCACAAGAGGAAACAGAGTCCTTGAAAGACGAAAAGATGAAACTGAACGAAGAGTACAAGTCGAAGCTTAATAATGCCTATGGAGAATTCCTCGAGGAAGAACGAGTTAATTTGAATCGTAGTATGGATTTACTAGAACTCCTCGATGAGGTTGAGTAGACTAGATTGAGCGTTTCGATATTACGAAAAGTTCAAAGAGACACCGTCCGAAGAATTCTATTTTTGCTGAATAATATTAGTTAGCAAAAAACTCACCATTATTCACGGAATAATATAATATTTTCTCACTATAGGTAGAAACTTTTTTTATACTATACAATCACGGAGTATTTAAAATGCAGCGCTCAGCACAAGTATTAATAAATGTATTTTAAATTCGTAATATCATTTTCCCCTTCCAAAATGCAGCTTGCAAAGATGATCAAATCTTAAACGTTCGTCATGTCTAAGATGTATTTTAAGCCAGTCTTCCCGCCAGCATTCAGAGTGTTTACAATAGCCTCTCGATAGTTGTTTAAGGGTACGAGCTTATGTGGCGGAACCACCAGTTTCTTCTCCTTGAAGAGCTGAGCTATTTCATTGATCATATCGATCTGTTCTTTAGAACCATAATGCTTTTTATACCAGGCTGACATCCAAAATCCTTTGAACGTCAAGTCCTATAATACAAGAAATCTAATTCATATCTGGATGCAATTATTCCTCAAACACAACCCAAGACAATTGATACCTTGAAAATCAAAGACGCTGTTGGCACAGTTACTGGCTCCCTGGACATGCCTCCATACGTCACCATGACGCCACCATTGGCAAGCTGTCTAGATACTTCAAGGGCATTCTGACCACTAACACAATTTAGAGCCAATTTTGGAACAGCTAATTTTTTACTTTTAAATAAATCAGTCTTGCGAGCTTCATCTTCTGTCAGAACTTCATTTGCTCCCAACTCTTTCAGTTGCTCCTATAAAATGCTCTCATACACACAAAAAATCTACTAATAGTGTTGTAATCGTGACAAACACCGACAAACCTTTAACTTTAATATATCTGGCCGATCCCTGACCACACTAACGGTTTTATAATCCCAGATTCTACAGAGCTGTATGACTATTTGGCCAACAGCAGAATTTCCCCCATTCTGAATAACCGTATCACCTGGCTTCAGCTGCACAAAATCCCGTAACATTCGGTACGCAGTGCATGGATTCACCTTCAGCACGCTCGCAGCCAATGGGTCTATATCGCTTGGCACCTACGATCAACTCGTCAGGGTATCGGTAAAGATCAAGCCTCGAGGACCTCCGTAACAAAACCAAAGATACCTTTAGAAGATCTTCGGCCTTGTAATTACCCTTTGTCCTCCACGTTCCCAGATTATTTCCATTGGGAAGAACTCGATCTCCAATGCTAAAGTTTTGCACATTTGTTCCAACTGCAACGACCTCTCCGACTCCTTCGTTACCCGGCACGGCTGGTAGCGGCGGCTTGCTCGGATACTTCCCTTGGATCGTATTAATGTCAGCTGGATTGACAGGTGACAACAACCACTTCACCAGCACCTGTCACAGTGTGTCATATTTATAATTCTACAAAACACTGATGACAAATTTAAAGAAATTCAAAGCACAAGATTAATTACCAGTAACTAATGAACTAACCTGATTTCCTTCCAGCTTTCCCAAAGCCGAATCTCCGAATTGAAGTACTTCCACAGGCTCACCATATTCCTTGTATAAAAGACTTCTCACAGAACTGTCACTAGACAATGAACTCATAAACCGCATAAGAGGGAAACTTTTCGTGACGTGCAAGCGTGACAAAGGAAACATAACCTTAACAATTTGTACAACCATTTTATCAGTCAGGAACAAGCGTTATAGATTACACAAAATTATACGCGTTGTCAAATCCCCCAAAGAGAGGTTAGAATACGGACTTTGGAGGTTAACAAGAGGAGAACAATAAGAACCGGCAAGAATATCCAGAGAGAAGAAAACAAGAGTCAAGGCTCCTAAATGTGCGATTGTCATTATCTGACAACGCGAACGGACACTTGCTGAATCTCGTATATTATCGCAAAACATGTGGAAAGTGCGTTAATTGATTACATCTTCCACAAGGGGGCAGCACAGAACTCGATCACGCGTCCTGCCCGTGAACAATCTCCCAAATCATCTCTGCGGATATCAGCAACGACCGTGCACCAACGGAGATGATTTGGGAGATTGCTTACGGGCAGGATGGTGCGATCGCATCCTGTGCTGTCCTTTGGTTTCATACGTTAGCTTTCACCGTTTTTTGCCCCCAAGGGCGGCGCAACGAATTTCTGATAGGAGCTCGAGCACTCACGATGGCGGTATCATCTACCAGTCGCCGTTGGCGGCTCACATACTTGTGATGGTAATACCATGCGGCATTTGACGGTGGTGGCTTACCTACGCTTACCGATACTACTCGCTTTTGATGGTAAGGGAAGAACACTCGTGACGCTCCATTTGACTTTATCTACTTATCTACTACGATTAAGTACAAATTATGTACGAAACTAGAGGGCAGTATGAGATCGTGTGGCGTGCCCGGGACGAAGTCCGCCCTTCGACCACCAGGGGCGTAGCGCGCGACGGGCGCGAGGCGTTCAGAACGAGGCGAACTGCGTTACCCCGCGCACATTACTGTACTTACCTTAAACGAAAAGACGAGTACGTCGTAAAATGTTTTAAAAACGGTTGAAAATTGGAGAGAAGACTGTTTGACCAATTCTAGAGCGCACGTGGAAACTCGCTGCTTTTTCTGTGATAATAAAGCAATAACTATAGATAAAGTGGTGAAATATATTCGACAATCCCCATAATCGCACGATCCTGCCCGTAAGCAATCTCCCAACACATCTCAGGTTTCGAAATTGCATTGGATATAAAAAAAAAATAGAAAATCGCGTTTTCAAATTATTTTACATCGACGAACATCCGAGCAACATTTGGCGCGAAATTCGATTTCTAACGTTCCTAACGTACCGTTCAAATAATTACGAGCACTGAATTATTTCGTTTCAACGAAAATGACCGAAATCTTAGTGAATATCTCTCAATTCCAATTGGCAAAATACACAAGGAGGGGGATACATTGAAGCCTTTTTCGTGAATGTTTCCGTTTTTATTGCGTCGCGAATAATCCGCTCCATAACTTAAAGGAAACCTCTGATACGAAGCATTGAGATCGATGAAGAAATCGCAACGATAGATTAGGGTATAGTTTTATAAAATCAAATCCCCTTCGAGGAGATCAGTCACGCTTGCATTACATGACATCGCGAAGCTGCAAACGAAACAGACTTATGGTTACGTAGTTCCCAAGCTAGATAAACGAACGCAAAGCCTTGTATAACACTTTGACTTCTGTGTAAAAAAAAAGGAGGAAAAAAAGAAAGAAAAAAAAATACTTGGACTAGAGTACAATTAAATCAGCTCTCAAGATAGGCCAAAGCGGTGCGACAAAAAGGATTCGTCTACGTATCGTTTTTAAAATCTTGCCAAGATCGTTAAGGGATATCGTTGTACAAGCAAATGGCAATGATGAATATACAGCTTTTTTAAATCCTTCTCTGGTAATACAGTCTCAAGGGCAAGTCAATTCGCCGTTAAGCCTCTACCTTGTCGTACCACCTTGATTGTTACCGAGTAGAAAAGGACATTTGAATATATTTTCATAACATTCCTCGGTCGCGTCTACATTAACCGGGTCTAAATAAAAAAAGTGCGACCCACTGGCGGAAAAAATCCGTCCTTTAATAGATATCGAAAGCGTCACCGAAACTGCAATTGCAATCTCAAGTCGTCGACTTCAGCGCCGGGGCTGAATTAAAATTAGACTTAGAGGATCATTCTCTACAAGAAAAAGAAAGAAAGAAAAAAGAAAGGGAAGAATAACGTCTAACAGGCGACTCGATTGATTTCCTAAATAGACTTATCGATCGTTACACAGACAATCTCAGCTGGCGAAGACCAGATAAAGAAGAGTAATCGACTCTCGGTAGGATTGGCTTGGTTAAAAACTATCCGGCAAATTAAACAATAACCCGTTTCCGGAAATGAAAATCAGTTGTCTCCGGTCGACTTGTATATTCGAGTAACGTTATAAAATATGCGCAATCTTCACCGGGGGATTTTTACCAGATATATATGTAAAAAATAATATCAGTAACATACAGCGCGTCGACCAGACAACACCGAATCGATCAAACGGCGATTTACTGCCTCGAGGTCAAGGAGCTTTTCTTTCCATGATTCCCGATACATTCGATGAAGGAAAACAGAGCCTCGGAGATCCCGCCAAGAGTCGTCGATTTGTCACAACTGCGGCACAACGCCAATACATTCTTACAAGAAAGAACATTGCCCAAAATGGACATTCGTCCCGCTCCCTTTGACGCAGATCAGGTTTCCCTTCGGCTTGCCCTTCCACGTAATACATGCTATTTATACATATACATAAGTATGTATATACGTACGCTAGTTAATAATCTAGTTGAGCTATTATTGCTCGCGCGTAATAATTGTATGATATGTCGGGTAAAGTAGTACCTACAGGCAATTAATTTTTAGATACAGGGCCAACAAGCTTACATTTAACCGAGGCGATCCGTGCCGAGGAAGACGACCAGGAGCAGCGACAATAAATCGCAGGGCGTGATTCCTCGTTAAATCGGTAAACCAATCGGAAGCTGCTCGACAATGGGATCGGCCAGGGGTTGAAGGAACCCCCGAGCTCGACAAGGATCGCCTCTTCGATCACGTCTTCGGAAAGTGCTCGACGATAGACCACGGCACCTCCTCGAAGGCATTCGGGGATCCGACGTCGCGGTCGCCCAGCGCAAACCCTTGAAATCTCTTCGGGACCCGACTAGAAAATTCATTGTCACGTGATGCATTATAGAAAAATAATTTCACTCTATCGTTACTGAACGCCAACTAGGAAACGAGTATAGGAAAGCGTTTTAGTTATGCTCGGCGGTGCGCCCGGCGCGAGGCAAAAAACTGGATCTCACGAGGAGCGGTCACTCGCGCCGTTTTCCGAAAGATTTCGACTTTTGTCAGCCCCGTCAGACCTCGAGGATTCGAGAGATAGAGGACAAAGGTCCTACGAGAGCCTCTTCGATTTAGACTAAAGTCAGCGACAAGGAAGGTTCGCATCAGCTCCCGTCTCGTCGCGGAGAGAGACCGACTCCAATAGGAGGGAACCAGACATTCGGCATTTGAGCGTATCGGATAACGACGGCGATCGAGAGCCACGTCGTCAGCCTCCAAGGAGTAACGCGACCGTTTTCCCCGTGCCTCCGACTAAAGATCTCGTCGAGAATTGACCGTGGCTCGTGGCCGATTTAATAACAAAATAGTCCCCTAAATATATCTCTGGAAAACTGGAAAGAGGGTTGTCCCGGTCGCGTCCTGCCACCGAATCGAGCCGCTCGCCGAGACTGCTCGCAGAGGTTTAGAGACGAACTAGTCTCCCAATCCTCTTTGTGCTCCGGTTTGTCGATCCATCCTCGGATAAACATCCGTCCGACAATGTTCCACGGACGCCACCTCGCTCGAACGTCTCGAGGGAGTCGTCGTCAGGGCGCCAAAATTGTCCTCCCTCGAGGGAACGTTCTCAATGTTTTTCACAGTAAACACTTGGGGACACACTGAATCCCGATTCTCATGGATCTGAGGAATCGAAGACGACGTCGTTACGAGTCCTAGGATTCTGGAATTAATTGACCGTGAGAAACGGTTAAAAAAAAAAAAGGACCACAGTCAAGGCACTCGCGCATACTCACGGTAGTGGATTCTCCCTCGGGTGGTCCTCCGAACGACTCGACGGCGTTCCCCTAGTCCCCGGGGGAGGCCAAAAGACTTCTCCCCGATGTGCGATTTCCGGATGGCGATTGCTTGACGTCCATTCGTCGTGGGTCTCTTCGGGGAGAGCTCGCGGACAGCTCGGCGGAGACCTCGAGGACGGCTTATAAGAAGACCGTGTGGGTGTGCGGCAACTTTAGCACGCTCACGCTGGCGATGAGCAACGCTATCCCGGTAAGAAGTGCCGGGGCGACCAGCGGGGCGCTGACCAGCGTCCTGTAGGAGGCGGTGCCAATCAGGCCAGATATCCTCACGGCGGCTGCCAGTACTCCGAATCCGGTGCACCTGTGTGGAAAAAGAAAATTAAAACTCAAGAATCTCACGCGTTAATCCTTTAGTCATGAAGTGCCACTATAGTGGCTTCTGCTTGACCAACGTTTTCCGAATCATCGCTAAAGTGGCTTCCGCCCTACGAACGTTTTTTGCGAAGCGCCACTATAGTGGCTTCCTTCGTTCTCATAAATTCGAAACGATAAATTAAGTAAATATGAAATATTTGAATTCTACAACCGACTCCGTCGTATTTAAAGGGTTAAGGGGACACGCCAGTCAAAATTGACATGCTTGTAACAACCTTCAAACCTCACGTTTAGTTTTTGTTATTAATTCATAAAAACTACTTATTTTTTAACCGTTTTGACGGGAGGGTCCCCTTAATCACGATTACCTAAAGAGGATACTAGGAACTAAACAGGTACCTCAGGTGGGTAGGGAAGCTTTCGATGGTGGCCAGAGTCATCGAAGTCCAGGCAACGGCAAACACCGCGATGAATCCCCCTTCGAAACCGAGGACTGCGGAGCTGTTCGAATTGACTAAGGTCAGGCACAACGCGGCGACGGAGGAGAAGAACAACGATATCCCTGAGGAAGTTTAATCGCGTTAATGATAACGTAAATATCGAGGGATGGTTAGCTGTAGTAGGGAATTTTACGAACCGATCATCTTTGGTCGCTGAACAACCGAAAGAGCCAGACCGGCGAGAAATGCCGCAGGAACGAAAGCCAACTGGGCAGCGAGGTGGCCGTGTAAAGCCTCCTCGATGTAGATGTTGTAGTCCAGGTCAAGGGTCGGGCATGGACCGCTGAGGCTCAGCTCGGTGTTATTCTCCAGTCGGCATCTTATAAACACCTGGGCGGAGAGATCGGTGTCCACAAATCTAATTGCAACGAAAAAAAGTCAGTGAAAGAATCGTGGTATCTCGTCGACGTCTCACGGCAAACGTTTTGGCATCGTTACCGACATCTTTCGACCTTAACTACGATTTATTCCTAATCTTACTTCGAGTCCACAATGACGCTGTCCGTGAAGTGAGTCTTACTGGATTTTATACTGCCAAACTCTACCGATTGGAAGGTACAGTTGTCAAAGTCAACGTGGCTAAATATCATCTTCGTAAATCTACATGAATGTAGAAATCTTGTTAGAGGATGCTAAGTGACGACATACAAATAATACACATGAAATCCATCGAAATGACATACTTGCAATTAAAAAACTTCGAATTCTTGTACTGCCGGTTTTCTAAGGAACCATTGAACGTTTTGCCACTGTGCTCCTCTCCGATCAAAATCTTTTTTTGTGCCTCGTACTCGGTGGCTCGAAGTAATTTCAGATATTCTGGGCACCATACCATCAAACCGTAAAGACTGTATACAACAATGGTCAATAAGTTTTTTAGAAATCAATTCCTACCAACGAGTTTGCCCATCATATCAGACAGAGAAACTGACCCAAACGCCGTTGTCGACCAAATGATTAAAAGTACAACCGTCACTCGTAGATGTAAAGTTGAAAACAGTTCCAAAAAGGAATTCCAAAACTAGAAAATATCGAACATAGTGAAGGGATGATTATTAAAATCAGATGAAGATTTATGAAAACATGAGACAACCTATTCTATCGATGATGGTACTCACCATTTCAATAGAGTACATAATGTCTGCTAACACACTGACGTGAGACACCGGAGACGATGGTGCTAAGCCACGTGGCCTCTTGCTAGGTAATTCCAATTCGGACAGTTGGTATTGGGCACCTGCTGCACCCTTTCGAGTATTATTCCTTTTGTATATTCTCTGTAGTACGAATTAATTTTTTAGATCTATCGTTAAAATATTGCCTTCTACAAATTTAGATTACTTTGTTGGAAGTAAATCTGACCTGATAGACCATCATCGCCTCCACGTCACGTCCAGCCTCAATGAGATACCTAGGACTCTCTGGTAGAAAAACGAGCCCAATGGTAGCACAGAGTGCTGGAAGGCAACACAAAAGAAGGAACCTATGCCATGCACTGAAATGTTCCTTATTCTCGAGGACAACCATTTCACCAGTAGTCGGAACAATTGCCCATGCGAGAAGAGCTGCATATACGCCACCAAGAGCACCAGCTGCTACCAGTGCTCCAATCCAGCGGCTCCTACTCGATCTTGGACAGCACTCGGCCAAATAAGCAAAAGTCAAGGGCACTGATCCTCCTACTCTGTATAATTATTACACAATAAGTTATAATTTTCTGCAGGGATCATAGCATTCCTTATACAAAACAGTATTTCCTTCTAGCACGGCAAGAAATATGCTTCTGGGTCAATTACAATTTACAAGACAATGGTTTTGAAACTACATCAAATTTTTAGTTACTATCTTAACACCATTAATATGACTCCAAAAAACTTACCCGAGTGCTGAACACAATCTAGCTGTCATGAAGGTACCGTAAGTTGGCATGAACGCAGCAACACTGCTGAAAAGTGTATGAACGGCCATGGCAGAAAGTAAAGCTCGCCGTCTGCCGAGTCTGTCTCCAAGACCACCCCATCCCAAGGCGCCAATAGCAAGACCGACAAGGGTAATATTTCCTGTAAAAACATTTTTGTTCACATAATTGTTTAAGAGAATCATAATTACGGCACTCAAAACTTCATAGATACTACTAACCGAGCCATCCTTTCTCGTTATCTTCGATACACAATTCGACCTCTGCGCTAGGCAATATGTACGGCACAACAAAGAACTCGACCGTATCAGCAGCAAGGCTGAGACCGGTACAAAGAGCAGCAAGCAGTTGAAAGTAACCGACGCCTGCCTGAAGGAACAAAAACACCAACACTATATTCATGAAATTACAAACGAATTAATCTGATAAAAGAAAAAAAAAGAAACACCACCATTTTGATTTCAATAAATTAAACACAAGATAGTAAGAAGCTCGCACACACCCAACCGGAATTTATCCACTTAATACATAACCTTTAAAAGCAACACCGAATATATAAAAGATATTTACAGGGGCATCATCGAGGAAGTTCGGCGATTCCCGGCGCACATATTTCAATTTATCAGGAGACTCATCGAGGACTTCTTCCATCCTGAGCGACACGGAAATTTAACGTACAAAAAATATTAGAAAGATCATTGACCGATACCCGAACTCGGAAGAGATCAGTCGGTGCTCATCAGCGTCGCCCACACGACTCTCTGATTGGCTACGGACATCGAGCACGCGGCTCTCTGATTGGTCGACGACGTTGACCAATGGGACGAGCTCACGAAAGTGAACGACCGATCATAGATGTCGCGCACTCAAGACCGTCAACCTGGCGCCAGATTCGAAATCCAGGTTGACTCGCGAGTCATGAATGGTCAAATTAGGGCGAATTAATCAATCGGCGAGTTTATTTACTTGACTAATGGCATCCTCGTGGAACTGGGCGAGCAGCGTAGCGTCAGTAGACGAATCGATGAGGTCGCGCTCGGCCGAGTCAGGCGGGGCACTGACGCCAGCCGCGGCGGGAGACGCACTTGCCGGTTGGGACGTCATCTCCTCGGTGTAAAGGCCGCCTCTAGTTGTCATAGATCGTTCCCCGATCCCTCCGGCTGCCGTAGCGTTCGCAATTGCGGTGCTCGATCCCCTTAATCCCGTCGATCCCATGCCACCGCCGCTGCTCCCGACAAGCCACTGGCTTTCCTCCTCCGACGAGGGCATCACTGCCAGCAATCATCTGGAACAAAATTCCAAATTCATCTTACCTTAAGGTCTGCGATCAAACTTTGTCAAAATATATTGCATATTCATCGAGAAACTCATTGGTTGCAAAGCTTCGATGAAACAATTTTTTCCACATCTTTCTATCAAACATACGTCAAATTTACAGACTTTGGAGCGTTTACCTACAGGAGAGTAATCATCGTAAAAGGTAAAACAGACAGGAATTAAGCTACTGCAGATAAATAATTGGACAATTAAGAAATATACATTTACGTAACATAAAATTGTTTCCTCGTAATGACACAAGGTATACGAGAAACTACAAAATTTCTTCACTTCCGCAGTGACACTCTACCATAGCTAATGGATGCAGGATGGAAATAATTGGCAAAGTTATTTGGTCGTGGACTCAGGACTTTATCGAGTCAGGCTCGATCGACCGAGAAGTCCGACTCACCTGGTAAGGATTTATTTCCGGGGGATGAAGCGGTCCGAATTCTCCTGCGCTCCTGTCTCTCTCTCGCCGGCAGACACCTCCCGGAGTCCTCTCGGTCCCCCAGGTCGTTTTGAACGATGGAATGAGCACCTTGATAGAAAACACAAGAGAATATCGTAGTAATCGAGGAGTACCATAGATCGCGCGGCCAATAGACTGGTCCACCTCTTGGAGGAGCGCCAATCGGAGACGCGCCGAGATGTCGTCCGCTGGGACGGATCGATCATGAAATCGGCTGTAAAAATTTACCTTTCTCGTTAAGATGTATTAAGATCGAATAGACACTCACAGTGAACGGTGCTCAGACAGCATCCACAACGTTGATGTTCTCGTTCAACTAGATGGTATTCCCTCGATGACCTCGTCGACCGTTAACGGGTCCCGTTCCGAACGAACGAAGAAACGTCGACACGCACCAAACCCGCGATACGCGACGAGTCGTTTTTGCGCATTTTTCACTGGAATTTCGGCACGGATACTGTCCTCGACGATGTCGAAGGGGCTTCCGCGAGCCCGAGAGGATTAGTCGCGTACTCTGATGACATTTTCATCGGTTGCAGGAAACATCGTGTATCGATTGGCGCGTGTACTAACCTCGCCACGTTCCGAGCCCGCGATGGCGGCGCCGTCCGCGGAGCGCTCCGCAACTAACCTTTTGAAATGGGCAGCCATGATTATAGGATTGTATTTCGAAGTCGATAAGGAAGTTCACTGATATCGATTACGTTACCGGTGACGGTTATCATCGGGGAATTGATTTGTTCAGGAATGGCTGGGAAATGGCTCTGGAATGTCGAGGAGCTCTGAAAAAGAACGATTTGGGTCACCACATTTAGCACGGTCAATTTATTTTATAAACACTTTCGGTGTAAAAATATATACTTACAATAGCGCTCTGTGTATAACGTGTAACGAATGCACACTCAAAAATTACGGAAGTATCACGCCCTGCAGAGTTAACAGTGATTCTATGAAAGTAATGCAGTTATTAAGCAACGTGTAGATTGCACTGATTTCTACGTAAGAGGCAATGGGTCATTCCACCGCCAGTGACCGTAGTTGAGAAAGTCTCGGGTTTCGTAACATCGCAGAGACCCCTGAATTTAATATAGAGTCTAATATCTTTACTGAGGATGGAACTTCTTGTTGGAATCGGAGGCCATGTCGCGGAGCAGTTGGCACGGCTTGAACGATTCCCCGTAGTGGGCCTGGAATTCTTCCATCTTGTTCACCAGTCTTCGAGCACCGAAGGTGTCGACCCAACGGAATGGTCCGCCAGAGAATGGTGGGAAGCCTAGACCGAAAACTGCTCCAATATCTCCTTCGAGCTGCGGGGAAATATTTAACGGTTTTATTTAATAACGTTGCATCGGGATAGAAATGATTTAGTAATTTTTACCGGGTTCGCGAGGATGTTCTCTTCCAGACACATGACCGCTTCGTTGACAAATCGAGAGACCATTCTCATCTGGCGATCTTCGTCGGACGTGCTGCCTTTAGGCTCCAATTTGTACTTCTTGAGGATATCTATCGCCTGCATGTTCACCTGCTTATGCTTAGAGCCTTTTTCATAGACGAAAATACCCTTACCCGATTTACGACCTAAAGGAGAGATGAGTGATTAAAAGGTCCTCTCGTTCGGTAACAATTGTATTTACTGATTTCCTTGATCGTCTTGTACCTAAGAATCCAGCCTTCACCATCGCGACGAGGACGTTGTCGTCACCAACTTGGAATCTGGCCCCTAATGCCTTACTAAGGTCTACACTGATGTGTGCCCCTACATCGATGCCGACTTCGTCGGATAATGTGGCTAATCCCACAGGGAAACCGAATGATTTCGTCAAGTTATCTAGATCTACAGGATCTACGCCTTCCTGCATGCAAAAGTAATAGCAGCATGAAGCGTACGCTTTAATGAAGAAATTGTTCTTGTGGAAAATAAACAAAAAACAAAATATAACATACCTGTAAGAGCTTGACTCCTTCTGCTATCATAGCACTAAGTATCCTTGTGGTATAGAACCCAGGTCCATCGCCAACAGTAATGACTACTTTGCCTTGTTTTAAACCAACGTCAACGGCAGTTCTGATGGTCTCGTCAGCGGTTCCCTTGTGAGTGATAATTTCTAGGAGTTGCATCTTGTCCACTGGAGAGAAATAATGCATACCGATGACCTGAAATTGATTATTGTTATCGATAACGTTTCATTCAGAGAGAAGTGCACATATTAAATAATTTAGTTCTGATTTTTACTTTGTCAGGTCTGCTACTGCCAGCAGCAATCTTGGTAATAGGGATGGCAGATGTATTTGTTGCTATTATACAGTGCGATGGAGTAACAGATTCGATCTCTTTAATGACCTTATGCTTAATTGAAAGGTCTTCAAATACAGCTTCTATAACGATGTCAGCCTTCTTAAACGAGTCGTACGATAACGTCGGCAAGAGATTCGCCAAATATCGGTCTTTTTCCAGACTAAAAGAGACAAAAAATTAAGTTGCTTGCAGTTCTATTTTTGGGGACCTATGTAAATGTTGCACTTTATCAGCACGTGAACCTTGTTAAGCGTTTCCTCTTAACTGCCTGTAGCAAGTTAGTCTGAATTTGGCCGAGACCTCTACCAAGACCAGCCTCATTTGTATCCTTTAAAATTACATTATATCCTTTATCGATGCTGACTTGTGCGATGCCAGCACCCATTAGGCCTGCACCAACAACAGCTACTGTCCTGTTAGAAATGAAAACACATTTTTCATTAACTCATGAAATTTTTATGGGAAAATATTCAAAATTCATTTTGGTTACTTGATTTTTATTACTAACTTGGTAGCACTTTTGGGCGGTCCAAATCGATTTCTCTTGCAAGCAGTCTGGCCAAAGAAGAGACTTATTAGACCTTTACACTGTGGGGTGACTGCTAATTGTCCAAAAGCTCGAGCTTCTGCCTCGAATCCGGCATCAATACCTTTATCGAGACCAGTGCGAACCACTTCTAATATTTTAAGCGGAGCTGGATAAAGACCCCTTGAAGCCTTCATGACTTGCGCTTTCGCTTTCTTGAATATTTGATCTCTAACAAAATTTAAGCCGAAAGCAAAGCTCATTACTTTTTGCGTAACATTCTTTGGTTTACGATCGATGCTTAGTTTCCCGTTTGCAATATCCTTGGCAGCCAATATTGCAGTTTCCTCCAGGTACCTTAATGTGCTACTCGCAACAAAAGAAAATTTATTGCCTATAATTAATGTACTGTCTTAGGATTTAATAATATGGCACAATGCCGTTTGTTTATTAGCGTTAGAAAATACTTACTTTTCCTTTGGTGTAGCAAGTCCTGGACCAAGAGGACTGACCACTACATCGACGAATCCAAGCTTCTTCGCTTTATCAGGCCTAATATTCTTGCCTGTTAAAATCATGTCTAAGGCATCTGGGAGAGAAACTAATTTGGGTAAACGTTGTGTACCCCCTGCACCAGGAAGAAGACCCAACATCACTTCGGGAAGACCTAGTTTAGTTTTTGGATCATTTACCGCTACCCGGTAATGACATGCCAATGCCACCTAGAATAAAAATGAATGATATATTTTTGTGTTAAAGATCCTTTGGTCAGTTATTAACAAACTTTTGTCGGTAACATTTTTCATAAGCAAATGGGAAAGTAAACCAACAGTAAACTTAATGAATGCACTTTATCATGACAGGGTTACTGGAAAAAATATAACATATACATTAATTAATCACTATCGAATTTAACTGGCGCATAGAAATACAAAATAATCAAATAAAAGTCTACCTCAAGACCACCGCCCAGGCAACTGCCTTGAATTGCTGCAACTATCGGTTTCTTACTTTCCGCTATTGAGTTGAGAATTCGTTGGCCCCCTTTGCATAACTCGTATCCATCGTTCTCGTCTTTGAACTTTTGAACCATTGTAATATCTGCACCAGCAATGAAACAATCAGGTTTTCCACTGGTGAAGACGACTGATCTGACTGAAGAGTTTGAATCAATTTCTCTTAAAACCGATGCTATTTCCTCCATAACTTCTTGATTCAATGAATTCACCTATATATTTTTAAACCATTAATCGTTTTACCATATTCATACATTAATTAATCTTCTTACTAAAATAACAAATACTTTAATAAAAAAGCCTAAAAAAAGGTAAATACACCTATCATCAAATACCTTTGCCCCTGGAGAATCCAGGGAAATTACCGCAACATCATCGACAATCTTTGACTTAAAGTGTTTCTTATCAGAAGCACTTGCTATAGTCCTCAGTGGTTGATACAAAGCTAGAAAAGGAAAAAAAATACTTATATCAATATGCAACATAGTAAATATTAATTTTCAAAGTACACAATACATTATCGATTATCTACCACATATGTGCATTATCGATAACGTTAGCTTCTTAAGATATAATATTTAATGTCAACAGGAGGAAGAATTCAAGAAAAGTAAATACTAGATACTAAAGGTATACTTGATAATAAAACTTATGATTTCTTATGAACACTCAATACATTCCAAAGTCAATAGATAAGTTACAATGCTTCACGATGATTGACGATACCTGCGATAAGCATAAACACTCTTTAACCAAGCATAATTACATAATTTATGAAGCAGTAGCAATTCATTTAGCATTCTCTGGTACTCTTTCGAGTTACATTTTCTACATGGTGTAACGAGTTTAAACTCTGACCATGAGTACGAAATCCAGCTACAAAGTTCATTGACATTTTTTCTAGGCTTATCTAGGGTTGTCCATAGAACAGTAAGTGATCATGCAACTCATCCAAGCCCAAATGGTTATGTATTTTTATTCCAAAATTAGTCTTTGCAGAGGGATCAAAGGTTACATCGACATAATCGTCGAGGGTCCGCCTGCCTAAAAGAAGTGACCCGACATTCTCGCCTTGATTAATCACCTGCTCTCGTGATATAGTTGATGTTTGTCCTCGAGAATTTGGTGAGGGCCCCAAAGATTCTGCAACTCGCCATGGTGCAGGTTAATCTCGCAATCCCCGGTCCGTTCGAAAAGGTCGTCGATGAGCGCCGGGTGCTCTATCGTGATCCTCGCCTGGCTCTCACTACCACAGACACTGATCGACATAGATAAGCTTCTTACTACATGTAACGTGCACCGAGTCGCTAATGCGAAGCCGGTTATAACCTCTTTTACGTGTGTGCATATCTGCATGCATACATACATAAGGGACAGCGCACGCAACGCAAGCGCAATGAATTCATGGGCGCGATCGGCGAGTTAAATGACATCGTCCTCCAGTTGGGCTCTTTTTAGGACTTTGACCCGGTTTAACGTAACTCCTCGCATATACGATTCGCTACATAACTGGGCTTTTCTTAATATTTGCGCGTTTGTGTGCCGTGGCCTCGCTGAGTGACGTCTTTAAATGCAAGCATAATGTGTGTCGCCAGAAATGAGTTGAGAAATTGCTCATGGGCAGGATCGCGAGATCGAGTCCTGTGCTGCCCCCTGATGGAAAATGCAAATAGCTAACGCACTTGCCACCTGGGGGGGGGGCTATTACGTAATGCAATTGAGCGAAAATGTGAAAAATGAGTAGCCCACGTTATTAAGGAACGTTTTTAGTGGTGAAAATGCGAGATCATTCATATGAACTGGCTCGATACAAATTTTTAAGCGAAAAATATTACTAGACTGGAAGTGCTAGTGATCTCGTTCTTTCATATAGCGAATATGTAATTCGGCGCATAAACCCACGTGAGATGAAAGTGCGAGAAGTGAGCGCTCTCGTCAAAAATACGTAATAAACGTCCTGATATCCTAGAAACTCGAGAGTGGACACACTTTGCGTCTCTATGCTGTAAATCTTCTCTACTTTTATTTGAAGTCGCCTAGCGGCCATCTTGGAATTCTAACGGCGGCCATCTTAGAACAATATGGCGTCCAGTTCTGATTGCGCGTTCGATCATTTCGGAGTGCTCCGTAGCAGCTTATTGCTGAAATTTCGGAATTGCAATCGAGCGCCGATTGCGTGAACTACGTAGCTACGTCGATTTCGAGGTCGTCATCGCAGGATTCTTCCTGGGAACGTCGAATTTACGGTAATAACTGGTGATTGGGTTAATGCCAGCTCCCAGTGTCTCCCACAACGTCGACACGATTTCCTCCTTCGTCGGCCTTTTCCCCTCCACCCGGCGGTCGATCCTAGATATTTCCTCGCCTTTTCCGATATCTCCGAGCACGCGTCGCTTTCGCTCCATCAGGGACATAAATTACCGGTGATAGTGCTACATGGGCGGAATTAGTAATCAATATCTCATACGCCGTGTCAATGGTCAGTTTTGACACTTTATTTAGACCCTAGCCTTCGGTTTTCCAATGGACTGCATTTTTCTAAATTTATCTTACGCGGTTCTTAATGTATCTTTCAGGCAGATGTTTGTCATCAAGCAAATGAATCGATGCTAGATAGGCGTTGAGTCAAAGGAATTTCTTGTATCAACCTGTCCCCACGGTAGAGCATTCCATTCATTCGAGCAGAGATGGCTGAAGCGTTACGCCTGCAAAGCGAAGAGCATCGTTAAAACGGACATCGTTGGACGGTTCGATGAAGAGAGTTGAGATATATGGTAATTACTAGGAATTAATACTGTTCAATGTTGCCACTTTTATTCTGTGTAAAGTAGTTATTACACATTTGTAATGTTAATTTAACATGATTTTTATAGAAATCTACAGCGATCGGTTGGGTCTTCTCAAAGCACACTTTGGAACACGTTTTCCCAGTGAATCCCTCAGTATTGGTCAGATGCTAAGTTGGGACGAATTCAATCAGCAAGAAGATCGAAGATCCACTGAATCATTGCTTGCATGAAGCAACTGGCCGTATCAGTCCTGACATCGCTGGATAGTTGCTCAGAAGAGCTATTCGCATGAAGCAAACATCCCCTTCATCACCAACATCAGCATTCTTCTTCAAGAAAAATCATAATACACGGTAATTAATAAAATTCAATGTTCCGATGAATTATCTTTTTTTGACATTATTTTTCTGTCGCATCATTCTTTATATCGTACATTTAAACTGTAGTCATTTATTGAATTTTTTACAGGGGCCGACGCCAGTCGGTGGGGTCTTTCAGTCAAATGTGTTACACCAAGTGGACAGATCGAACTTAAGTAAAGACTTCGATTAAACGCAGAACTTCGCAGCAGAGCTTCGGAGTAAGCGTAGTAAAGGGAGCGAAGTATGGCAGAGGAGAGCGGCGAGGTCAAGTCGGCGGGGCCGGCCTCGCCAAGGAGTCCACAGAGTGGAGGCACAGCCACTGCCAAGGCCAGCAGCCCCAGATCTCCCCGTCAGCCTCGTCGAGTGAAGTTGACGGAGCAACAATTGGACAGCTTGACCAGGGACGAGTTGGCAGCCAAGTGGCGTGAGCAAGACTTGTATGTGGAGTGTCTAGAGGCGCAGGCGGCAGCCCAGGAAGGTACTCAGATCACACGAGTGAGGCCACACTCACTCGCCCACATTTCTTACGCGAACCGAATATGTCAAACCAGCGAGACTCTCGTAGGGATAATAAGTGTTTGACTTTGTGGCACCGTCTCTCCTCGGTGCGGTCTAGTCTGTGATCTAGTCTAGTCATAAGGCTTCAAATGGTGGGACCATTGATTAGTGGAAAAAAATATGGTTCTTCCCAGAAAACGAAACAAATTCAATCCCAAAAAAAGATTCAGTTACCTTGTCCAAGAAATATCGATAGTCATTAGTTTATTTGAAACTTCTTTAAGATACGAGAATGAATGCCAATTTTTCTGAATGAAATTGCTACTCAATAGCATTCGCTTAATTATTATTCCTTGCAATGTGTAATGACGTTATATCGATAATTCATTGCCTTAACGAAGATTTGAATTTGTCTTTGAAAGATATCGATATTTCTTGGAGGTTTAATTGTTCACAAAATGTACAGTTTGGGATTGTAACAAAGGTTGCACAATTCGTTTCCTGGGAATTAATTTCATACATAGAATCAATTAAGGCTTGAAAGATCTCAATCTGATTCCACCGTTACCTATGATTAAGTAAGGGTCTGGATGTTAAACTAATTATAAGGTGTAGGAAGTAGGATTGCGTAAAGGTTCCCGCTGCCCTAACAGGGCTCCAGGCTACCAAAGCTCGGTGGGTCCTGGATAGTGGTGCTCGCATTTTATTTTCCAAGGTTACCGTGAGATGCAAACAAATTGTGCCAGTCCTCTGCCTAATTGTGCACGTGGTACAAGGGATCCGATTCTGGATCTAGAAAAAAGTTGCATGGCGAGGTCTCCTCAGAATTTGCATCGTGTCGCTCGGAAGGAAGCTTGGTGCGATGTGTGTCGCGAGTTAATTAGCAAAAATTCTGGTGAATCGTTTAAAATGAGTAGCATCAAGTATTCTAGTCGACAGTGTCAGTGCAGTGCTCACAGTTCCATGGGTAAGACCAGGAGTAAAAGTGTCGAGATTACCCTTTTGCGTGTTCGGGGAGGTCTTTCCAATCGAGTGATTTTGCTTCGACCGTCCACTCAGTCGCTCGATGGGAAATGGTCTATCGAGTCAACGGTCCGTCAAGGAATCACCATCCTATGTGTGATCAGCTCCTCGGTGAACGTAGCAACAAGTGTGCTCTCGTTGCAGACGTGACGTGGAAAACAAACGAAATTCTTGCACTTCTCAGAAGTTGCAGAGAGAAACGTGTTAGTGAGATTTCCCTACCACTGATGCGACGAAACCCCTCACTCGGAGTTCTGTCCTTGGAGAGCCCTCGTCGTGGACGACGTTGACAGTTCCTTCGTCCTTCGCAGCTCTGCTGTTAGGAACGAAGGAAAGGCCATGCAACCGGTTGGTGCCACAGAACCAAATTCGAGATAGGAGAGCTCGCAACTACACATCACAATGTCAAAGTATGCGTCAAGTTAAGGATCTCAGTTATCGGACCTCACCGGTCCAGGTCACTATCACGAACCTCACCGAGGACATACGGTTTTAAACTTAATTCGGCATTAAGACCACTCGATCTCCGCCATCAAGTAGGACGGGCTGCATCTGTCGAGACACGTCTCAGCAAATCACAGCTCGCGGTGTCCTTTGTGTTTCCCTTCGATTCTCAATGCCTACATGTCATCGGATGATCTGCCATCCGTTTCCAGTATTCACTTTACCGCAGGAGTTACTATCCAAGTGATTCCTCCATGAAGCATTGCTAATCCCTTAAGGCGAAGAACTGTGTAGTGCAAAACCTGTCAATCTATTTATAACACTTTGATGTACTTTTTAAATCTGACAATACCTATCGGCTGAAACGGTTGCCTGTATTTTTTTTTTCCACATTTCAGTGTATTAATTGTATCGTGCGAAGGAAATTGGCTTGAATATTTCCACTACACAGAAGAAATCATAGAATCTAGAGAGTAGATTAAATTGAAATTCATCATGACTCCTCTTTGTAGGTGAAGTAGGCTCATTGCGAGAGTCGGAGGAGAAATACAGGCAGCAGTATGCGGAGGCTTCGCATCGAGAGAAAATCCTTGTCAGGAGACTGGCGTCGAAGGAACAGGAACTTCAAGAATATGTAGTACGTATGACTCGGACCATTGTAATTTCCATTACTTTCTTCAATGTCTTTATCACCAAGAACGACACAATTGTTTCGCAGAATCAGATAGCGGAGATGAAGGCAGCCAATGCTCCAGCTGCGGCAGCACTGCGATCAGCCCTCCTGGATCCAGCAGTGAACATTTTAATCCAGAAACTCCGTCAAGAGCTCGTCACTACCAAAGCTAAACTCGAGGACACCCAAAATGAACTCAGCGCTTGGAAATTCACACCAGACAGGTACACTCTATTGGTTATATCTCTCCAACATCTACTATAGTCTCAAAAGTCTAACCTCAATGTTTGTTTTCCTTTAGTAATACGGGGAAAAGATTAATGGCGAAGTGCAGGTTACTTTATCAAGAGAACGAGGAGCTCGGCCGAATGATCGCGAGTGGTCGCATCGCGAAGCTAGAGGGCGAGTTGGCATTGCAGAAAAGCTTCAGCGAAGAAGTGAAGAAGTCTCAGTCTGGTGAGATACGAATAATAATAATATAATACCGATGAAGACTAATTAGAATAAATTTAATAGTTGAGTCAGTTATTTCATATCACCTTAAGTATCTCATTGATGTGAGCGTTAATCATTCGATTTTTTTTTTTTTTTTTTTTTAGAGTTGGACGAGTTCCTGCAAGACTTGGATGAAGACGTGGAGGGCATGCAGAGTACCATCTACTTTCTACAACAAGAACTGCGCAAGGCCAGGGAATCGGTGACCTTGTTGCAACAGGAGAATGCAACCCTGAAGACGACCTCCGGCGAGTCGAACCTGACGAATGGACTGTCGCCTCGAACCCCACCGATCAAGAAGGAGGACGTCGAGGAGGCTGCGGCGACGACGACCGAGACAACGGAGGGGAAGGCTCTGAAGAACGAAGACAGTGAGGTGTGCAAAGGTGCAAGGACTCCTCCGCTTCCGACCATCCTGTCTCCTAGGAGTCAGGTTGTCGAAGGGACTGACCGGGTCGAAAGAGGTGAAAGGACAGACCGGAGACCTAATCTACCGGAGCACCTGGACGACAGCTCTGGTGATTCCCCTGCTCTGATCATCAAAGTTGAGAACGAGGAGCTCAGCGACAGGGAAGAGGAGGACCAAGAACACGAGGAAGAGGCTTCGGAAGGTCGCGGCAAGAGGAGGACTCTCAGGACTAAAACTAATAGTAGGAACAGTGGTAAGAGTAACGGTGAGGAGGTGGTGACGAGGACGACCCGCGGTCGGGATAGGACAAAACGGGAGAAAAGTGCTCCGGGTAGTGACGAGGAGAGGATCCGCAAGAAGAAACGGCGAGAGAGCGTGCTTTCCCTCGACTACAATGAAGCAGATGACGATGCCCTGGTCCTGACCAACGGAGAGACCCTACAGAGTGACCCGGAGTGAGGAACTCTCTGGCTCAGAGGTACCGTAAGGATAGTGACACATACCGAAGGGCACAACGAAGGATTCTGTAATATATCGATAGGTACCAAAGGCACTGTTCACTCCGATGGAGGACTCCGAAACGTTTGACTATGTCGGAACATCTTATAGCCGGGACAAACTGTGTGAGAGATGGGCAAAATATAGTGCAGGATGAGTTTCTCGAGGGGTGATCCTAACAGTGACTTGATCGTACTAACGTATCCATACACTAATGTGCAATCATCCTGCCCATCTCTGCTTCGAGCACATTAATAACACCATCGATGGTAATTATCCAATGATCTCGATAATCAATGGTGATATTAAATTTTAACATTGTGCCTCAGTGCAAATGGTTTATACAACAGTTTGTCATGGATGACAGCTTTGGCTTGAATCTACAAATGACTCGGACTCGATGCAAAATCATTTGGCATTGAACCTCATTAATTGTGGTTGCTCCGTCACCGTGCCATCTTGTGATTTATTTATATTATCTGAAGCAAACTATTGTGTTTTGTGGTTTTTCTCAATTAAATTTTCTTTGCAGTAGAAATTTATTTAAGCATATTTGAGTTCGGTCCGAGTCGAGTCATTTGGAGAGGCAAGCTTGAGACTTAGACATATCGAATCATCTAGGCAACGGCACAGAGATTCGTGATTCGAGTCTTCGGAGACGTTTGCGGAGTCTACTCAAAAGCCTTTTCGGATCGCAAGCTCGTCAAAGGCTCATTGATCTGTCTTGAGAATTTATCGACACATGGATGGGATCAATCGGAAGGTACTGGGTAGTGAAGCATTTCGACCACCAGGGCACACGGTACACGTTAAAGAAATAACTGAAGTGGATACTCGTGTATAATATATTTTTTGTATTCGCAGCGTCCGCAATTTATTTCCTCGCAGTCGGCTGTTCAATAGCTGACTTCCAGAACTAGGACATTTCTGTTCAATAACCTCTTTTGCATCAGGTGCAATATCTTACAGTATCTACTACAACTGTCCATTTGGGACATTGCTTTAGTCATTAAGGGAAAACATTCGTTTTTAATCTGGTGACGATGAGTTCACAACAAATTCGATTCGACAGTCAAAACCAAGACCAGTGAGTTTTTCTTTTACTTGACACTGACCTTTTCTTTTGTTCTTCTTTTTCTTCTTTTTTTTTAGCAAAGTGAACTTGATTTGGACTTCCATGAGCCGTTTCAGTTTGAAAAGAGCAAGCATTTTTAAGATTTAATTTAACAAAAATGTTATTTCAAGCCAATGACTTTACCAAGCTGTCAGTTGTGCACCAAATGCCGTAATATATTTTTCTCGTAGGAGCGGTGATTGTTCAGAAACGTTCTTGTTCCGTCAGTATGCCTGTTAGAAGGTAGGCTTCCAGGCACTAATCGATCCTATATCCCATCGCTCGTGTATAATATCTATGTATAAATAATATAATTGTATGTAAGAGGAATTTATATGTATACATACGAAAACGATTAAGGAATCATTGCGTAAAACCTGTACTCTCGGTGGTGTCCACGCGAGTTGAAACTGGAAATTGTATAATAACATGCGGGACGTTACATCGTCGTAAGTCCCAGGTAAAGTTAAGACTTCTAGAGGAGCCGACGGAGAGGGAACACGTTAGTCGACTTAAGAGCCGACGCGAACGAGGCGTGCAACGTGTCACTATAGATTTACCTAGCGTTAAACACATCACAAGGCAGTAACTCGACAGGACTCTTGCAATTTGTTAAACCGTCTTTCTTTACCCCATGCAACCCATCGGAAGCAGCACCCCTAACTTACCTCCCGGAAAACCGAACCCGTAACTCGACTGTACAAAGTGTTTACATTGCTATTTTATATCTCACCCGCATATATTAATATACGTTTGTTTTATATCGTCCCTTTCGGAAACGTTTACTTTTATGGTAATAGTTTTGCCTATTGTGAAAAATATATTTTCAAACATTGACGAGTGTTCGTGGTTCGCAAGTTATCCTTTCTTTTATTTCCTGAGTCACCAAATAGACGCGCTGAAGAGGTTAGGTTGGACAGCACGTGCGTCGAAGATAGGTTAAGCGGCACGTGCGTTGGAGAGGTCAGGAACAGCACACGTATCACGTAATCAACTAATCTGGTTTGCTATTGTCACTAATATTTATTAGAATTCTCGTTACATTCGGGCTTAAATATAAATGTGATGAATCGTCGTACGTAACTATTAAAAACTATATGTACAGGTAATGAGGCGGCGCGTAAGTCCTGGGTGCGCGGCCCCGCCATTTAATCCAACTCGAAAGAAGTGCGAGCGAATGATCGTGCCTTTTGGTGGGACACGGCCAGGAGGGGAAATTAATACCTCGAATATGCGAACGATCACGCGTGGGTGGTGTGGTTGCGAATAAATATTAAAGCAAGAGCGCGGCGGAGTCGGGACTCCGCCGACGTGCCACGTCGCGGCCTGAAGAAGCGGCGACCTCGGAAGTATTATTTAATCCTCGCTGACCGTGCTCTTCTTCGGGGAAGTCCCTCCCGCGAATCTTAAAAATCGACTCGTACCATCCGACACGAGTCGGCACGTATCGGTGTCCAAGACAAATTTGATAACGCTTTTCAACGGCACGGTTAAATTCCGTTGAAGGATAGTGCGCGCAGAAAAGCGAAGATCGGTTAATCGAAGATAAAAAAAAATCCATTGGCTGTATTTAATTGTGAAAAATCGTTTCGATCGAGTGAACCTAATTTCTAGCAGTTTCAGTCTCCTCGTCGATTTTAGAAAACACTTTCAAAGATCAGCCAGATTTTTATGTTATAAACGTATCAGAATGAATGTTTCGCGCGATCCACCATACTCGTTTACGTGATAACCGCGATTCAATTGTTTGAAGAGAATAGTTACATTGGAAGAAAGTTGAAAGGGTTTGTCGGAACGGATACGCGTCGGCCTGGGTCGGATCGCTCGAGTCGGCCTCGAATTGTCTCGTTTTCTCCTCTCTTCTCTACGGAGGTCGCACTTACGCCTAAGTAACGCGGGCTAGGTGTATTATCTCGTAATAGTTAATGTTTAGAGGCTAACGCTGTCCGCGTGGGTACTCAGAGTCGAGGACATTCGGAGACGCTCCGCCAGCCGAACACGCCGGACAGCGGGGAATATTTCCTATAATGATTGCTTATGGTTAAGTTAGCACTTAATCGCGCTTCGTCCAAACGATCGGGCGTTGAAGGCTGGATCGATCTCTGGAGGGCTAAATGGCTCTGATGGGTTCGGCCGATCGATCCGATCGACCGATCGCTGTTGGGAGATCGCTTGGTGGGCGCACTCGCCCCTGAAGATCAGGCGTTGGTCCGAGCCCTATCCGGCTGGTCTCGTGATTTCGAGAACCAATGTCCCTCCTTTCCAGGCGGTGCCAATGACTGCTGGGGAACTCCTGAAGAATTAAGAGATATGAAAGATGGACGCCACCCGGTGCGGCCTCGGTCGAGACGCTGGGACCAACGCCGGATCTTCGGCGGCGCGCAGAAGACGAAGACGTTCTTTCTTGAATCTGCTCCGAGGCGTCCCCTTCCAAACACCTCCTCGATCTTCCTGGATCTTCCAGGGATCGATGGGAGGTGGTAGGGGCTCGCTAGAAGCGATTCCTCTTCTGGGCGGCTCCTAGTTGATCCGGCCTTTGTGCGTCATGTAGCTGATGCTGTCCGATAGCAGCTTGTCGCGAGCTGCTCGTCGCATCCTTGAGCACATGGCCAGCAGGGTGCCCGCCATTATGCACAAAAGTCCGCAGCCTAACCCCACCACGGTGCTGACTATCGTGGATCTCAGGCACACCCTGTCCCCGGTGTTCTCGGTTGTACCTAGAAGAAGAACGAGAGTTTTCGGATAATGTTTCACAGGGATGAGACATGTCGGATGTTTCAACTCGAGCAAGAGTAGAGGGTGTATTAGGGTTGACCTGAGGCCAGACTTTAGTCGATAAAGTGTTCCACCCGGCCTGTAACTCGTATTTCCTCTGTGGTATTGTTTTAGAGGTGCAAGGTTGTCGTAAAGATCCTCGGGCGCCTCGGCGCTGCGAATGCGCTTGGCGCGAGACTCAGGCGGGCTCCTAGAGTAGATTTTTAGTGACAGTCTTCGGGCACTTACTGCGACGAGCCGAGGAATTCTGGAAGAGAGCAGGCTCGGTGTCGGCCTCTCCTTCCTGGAGGACTCGCAAAGACTGGAAGAGGTTGACATTTTCCGAGAGATTTGTCGCCGGGGTCGACGGTCCTCCAAGCTGGCCGTCCGCCGATCTCTTCGACACCGTTTTTGCGTTTCGCCAGTGACAAGGTTGGCTCTGAAAAGCGAATCATCCGGTGAGTTATTATCCTCACGTAAGGAATTCTCAAAGAGAATTAACAATGAATTCACCTTTCGTCTGATTATACTTACAGGACATCTTCCGTGACACATGCGCACGTCGCACTCGATGTAAAGAGCCGGGGAACCGGTGAACCTGAACGTCTTCATGTACGCGAAGACCTGGGTCTCGAAGAGCCCACTTTCGGACCAGGATCCCCGGAATCTGCTTATCAACTTATCGTCCACCGGACAGCCGTATTGGTCGATCAGCTGGATCCTTTTGTTCCCGCCATTATGGGCGTAGCAGTCGTTTACAACGATGTCGAAACCGTCTATCGACGGTAATTAAAGGTATTAACAATTTAACTATTGTATTAATAATTTTATTAATTTATTAATTTTAGAGGTTCAGTAATAAATAATATAATCAAGTTGTTTGGCCTGGCCATCAAGCATCGTCCATCGTCGTTGACCGATCAGCTGATCGGGTCTGAATTGGTTTTCCCGATGCGCTAGATCTCTTTACGCGTGTTTTATTTATAGGAAGCGTTTAGTTACCGTATTTACTGCGCATGTAGATTATCAGTGTCAATGGGTCGCCCACTCGAACTGGTCCGGCTACTCTGGTCCCCGTTGTCCCATATCCATATCTGATCTCCATGTAACACTCCGGCGGTTGCAGGGTGAACACTACGGGATTCCCCGTCGCGACCCTGAAAATGTGTTAATTCAATTAAATCGTGGTAGCTGCATTAATATAATGAAATAGTGCCTATTAAAAATATATTAATTCGACGGAATCGTGCCTAATAATAAATGTATCAATTTAATGGTGTCGCTCCACTTTCTAGTAGAACGCCGCGAGAAAAAAAACGCTACTCTCGACTTACTCAACGTCGAGAAACGGAAAGGTGACCGTCTTCCAGAAGTCGTAGCCGTACTCGCAGGTGACTTTGAAGTGCTCGTCAAACTCCTCCTCGATCAGAGGATTGTACTGCACGGTAACGGTGTTCCACATGAGGTTTTTCTGCAACGTGGGAATCAACCATAATGTACCATCGTAGAACACGCGCGAGGGCGGATCGCGGATCCGTCGGTTCCCCTTCGTTTCCATTTCTTCGACTTACCGTAGGGTTCTTCCTGCTGTCCTGGTGATGAGTGTTTTCCCCTAGCGTGCCGCATCGGTTCAGCTGGATGTAAAATTCGTAATAATCGCGCCCGGTACCGTTAACGTACATGCAGTCGGGGTCATATGAGTATCCTGTAACCAAACACAGGAATCGATACAGGACAAGCAATGAAATTTCCAAAAAATCCCGCATAAAATTGACCTTAAACAAACATTAGAAAACGAACTCTCTCCACCCACCCAAAAAAAAAAAGGGAAATCGGTTCAAGCAAATTCATTTGTGATTATTTCATCGATATCAGAAAACGCTTTTATTGAGCTGCCCAAATTTCAATTCACTTGGTTAAATCGATTTCTTATTTTTTTATTTTTATTTTTTAATATCAGAAAACATATTTCAGTCAATTAATCGAATATTCCGGTTAAAAGTAGCAAATTGCTTCGACATTCGACTTGATCTACCATGATGTCAACCAAAGGATTTCGCCATATCGACCAGATATTGTCCGTATAATAAGCATATTTATAGTCGAATCAATGAAAAGTTGATTAATTCTATTAAATTTATTCTTTTACGGGCGATGTTCTCAGGAATGGGGGAGGGAAACACCTTTGGAGCGCTTGTTACAGTTCTTCGGCAAGTACTCGAAGAACCGCCCCAGTGAACGCGCGTTGAAGCCTTTCCTCCTTTTTCAAGGTATGCGTCGAGAATTTCTGTTCCGAGGATCATATCCAGTCTTAAATCGAGTGTCGACGCCGGCATTTCTTGCACCAGAGGGCGGTCGTCCAATGATTCTTAACGAGGCCGATCGCGCGAGAGGTCTTCTCATCTCTGGCCGAGTCGTAAACCATTGGACGTGGAATACAAATAACGGAAGGCGGTATTCAGGAAAAAGAGGGACTCCTGGTTACAGAGGACGGCGACGACGCGATGGATTTACGATAATTAGCTCTCAGCCATTTGTAAGGTCGTTAGTCGATCGTACAAGCTGGGAGACATCAATGCCCTCCCGTCCTGCACAGGCGATGCCGTATGTGCAGGGGAGGCATTCATGTCCGCCATTGTACGAACTGGAACGTGGTGCACGCATCACGATGTGATAGAAAAAAATACGAGGAAGGGGAATACACGAATCCCTTCCCCGAATCCTGGAGGACCCGAGTCCTGGCGACTCACCAGCTGAGTACAAGAGTCCCGCGAAGGAGCCGTTAAAGCCGATCCTGATCTTCATGTAGTCGTCCTGACATTCGGCCTCGATGTCTGCAAGGAGAAATAAGTATTAATTGATACTACTCTCCTAATACAACGTCATAATTCCAAAAATATTTTTTAAAAGCATCCCTAACGATGGATACATGGATTTCAGGAAATTCAGTGATCATGAAAGAGGGTGATACCAGGGGTGCGATAAAATTAATCTCGTAATTTTCGTAATTCAACAAAAGTCTGGTATACGAATGGAAATGGCGAATATTCCATTGATTAAAGTTATGACTTAATAAAATGAATTTCGTGATATAAATTAATCTCCTAACTTATTATATTAAATCGGGATTTTAATCGATGATTGGATGTATGCTGTATTTATACTTGTGATTATTGAAAATGTCAGGGAGCTTATCGGTGGCTCTCTTTTGTCAAATTTTAGGAATTAAGATTTAGCGTGTCGCAGGTCGTTTTAGTCAAGCTTATGGAGTGGCGAAGGGCGCGCGAAGAGGAAAATGTCGAAACCGAGACCGGTGTCCGGTGAAAGCGAAAGCAGCCGAGAAGTGCCCTCGGTGGCGTGTGCGTACACCCGTTGCTTCGACGTAACGACGTAACAGAGATAGAGACGATAGTTACACTCGAGGGGGGTCCGGTAGGACGAAGAGGGGCACCTCGAGGAGAGGCTCGCGAGGTCTTCGAGTAGTGCGTTCCTTCTCGGGGAAGGATGCACCCGCGGCCACGAAGACGTGGAATTAGAATCCAGAGGAACGGCGCGGCACGTAGCCGTGCTTTGTGTTCATCGGCCGGTAAAACGTCCGTGCGTTTAACAATGGCCGGCCCGAACGCACGGTCCGCCGACCATGAAGGATCGAGATCGATGCGACCGATGCGATGAACGACCGAGAACAGGACTCTAGGCTGCCCGAATACAGGAAGAACTCCTGGAATGGCTGGCTCGAAAATATGATTACCACTTTAGCGATTTAAATTCGAGTGGCGCCAGGGGCGAGGGATCGATCCTTTGGAGGGCAATTTTTTTTTACACTTTTGGTGTTCGATGAATTTTTAGACGATGAACGCGATGAACGCGATGAACGAACGGCTTTGGAAACATGTTTGACGCGAAAATTCGATTTCTACTTTTTCACTTGAAATCCGAGAGTGGGTGCGTGGATGAAACTCAAAGGCGAGGGATCGATCCTCGGAAGGATAACTTTCTTTCATTTTTTTTTTCCTAAGACCTTTAATTTTTATACGTTACTTCGATTATTAAGTGCGTGCCCTACAGACTTGTAATCCAGGATCAAGCAGAGCCGCACTTTGAATTACCGGCTCGCCATAAAGAACGGCGGATGAAGTCGCGGGACGGTAAAACGACCCACGGCTCATCCTAGTATGCAGAAGCCGTAAGGCACGCAGTTCCCAACAGCTGTTTAAACGGGCTGCGTCAATCATTAGGATTATTACTTTTTAATGCACACCGCGAAGGAAGATGGCCGATGTCATGGATCCCCGTTGCCGGCGCGTCTGCGCGCGTAATTGCGTTTACGGGTATTAAGGGATAACTCGATTGGGATTCGGATTTTATAAAATCTCGCAGACTTGAAAAATAACATAGTAAACTTCATCGAAAATCTTGCAGCCATATATGAAATATTGATGAATATAATCATTTCGAAGAAAAAGTCCCAGGACGAGTCTTCGCCCTTTTGTAAATCACACCGTGCATGGGAATGTTTCCTCCGTCCTGTGCATACATATGTATACATATTATGTTTGTATACAAGGGGAAGGGGGGAATTCACATGCAAGATTTTATTTTAGACCGAATCTTTAATATGTCATTTTTGCAGAATTCTCGGCCCGAACGTGGGATGCGACTTGCCCGAACCTAATCGCACTTGCGGTAGGTCAGTCACTCGGATGATCGGGGAAGTGATTCCGTGCTCGACGTCTTGGCCTCGCTACTCTCGTAATGTGCATACAACAACTGTTGAATGAATTTTACTCTGGCCCTTTTTTCCAGACGCCGCGTTTCCTGATCGCCGACAGTTAACCGTATGTCGACGCCTACGCGATCGTTACAATCTGCGAGTAACGGAGTATTTGCACAGGCCTTGATATGAGCGCCTAAATGAAAACGTGTTACACGATGTTTGACGTTTCATCAGGACGGCATGGAATCGCAAGCACGAAGATCAATTACGCTCCGAGGTAAGACCGTGAATCGCCCCGTGTAATCTCTCGGACGGCGCTAATCAATTTCTGGATCCTACGTATTTCCTAGCCTCCCGATTTCTTTCTAACTGACCACTTCCACGAAGAAACAATAGGGTGAAAAATAATATAAACAAAAAAAAAGTAACCTTGAATTTGAAAACTTTTTAATGCGACGTATCGTATACCGATATTCATTAAGTCTTATTTATGAGTCTTTCAGCGAACTTTATTATTATGCCAATCTTCACGGGCTGTAGATTCGTAAACGCATATATTTACATTAATTTACATAAATTGTTAACGCACGAGGAAATAATTAATATCCGACGATGAATACCTGAAAATATTTAGTTATATCGTGTTTTCCTGGGCTTGAAACAAAAATTGGGTTACAGGGGGTTTATGTTCATAGTTTTATCGATGTTCCTTATTTTTTATTTATCATTTCCGGAACGCTACACCGATCTGCCTCACTTCGGTTTGGTTGCGGTAGGTCGGGCATCCGCTTACACCGGCAGGCCATTTCCCGGCCGCCCTTCCGCTGGATGCACAACAAATTGTGTATGCATTCTCGTTGCGTAGAGGCCGGAGCCACCTCGTGCATACCTTTGGATAATCTTCCGGCCGTAGGAGAGTTAAGGGAAACTTAACTGACCGGCTCGAAGTCAATCGGGGATGCGCGGCCTCGGCTCGGCCGGCGAACCGAGAAGCGTCAGGCATGGAATACTTATTTGCATGTGTTCGGGTCAAAGTGGAGTAACGAGCGACACGTGCTGCAGACTCACAGCTGATCCTCCGAAAGACGTTACGACATCCTTTTAAGCGAATATTACAACTTCGAATAGCGTTACGCTCTATACGCGGACACTAATGATAGTAGCGACTCAGCCTCGAGGATTCGGACGCAGCGCGCGGAGTCGCTGCTGGGAGCTTATTCTCGAGTGAGTACGAATTTTTTTTTCACATAGGAATACATTCGCATGAAAAATTTCGCATTGTTTCAAGGTCGCGTCATTGGTCGTACACGAAACTGTCAATTTTGTATGCGAAAGTTGATTGCATGAACTCGTGGCGCAGCGCGCAGAGTCGCTGCTGGGAGCTTATTCTCGAGTGAGTACGAATTTTTTTTTCACATAGGAATACATTCGCATGAAAAATTTCGCATTGTTGCAAGGTCGCATCATTGGTCATACACGAAAGTGTCAATTTTTCATGCGAAAGTTGATTGCATGAACTCGTGGCGCAGCGCGCGGAGTCGTTGCTGGGAGCTTATTCTCGAGTGAGTACGAATTTTTTTTCACACAGGAATACATTCGCATGAAAAATTTCGCATTGTTGCGAAGTCGCATCATTGGTCGTACACGAAACTGTCAATTTTGCATGCGAAAGTTGATTGCATAAACTCGTGGCGCAGAGCGCGAAGTCGCTGCTGGGAGTCGATTCTCGAGTTCGTACGAATTTTTTTCGCGTACGAATAGATTCGCATGCAAAATTTCGCATTGTTGCAAAGTCTCTTCATTGGTTAATATTTGTAAGTCGTAAAGGAAATCGTCAATTTCGCATGCAAATGTTAATCGTATGAACTAAAGGATCGGGTCCCTGGACGTGCGCGCACTTGGAATGGTTCATGAAGAAATGCAGAAATGTCAATGGACATCTTCCTGAACCATGGAGATGGTACTTTGGGGACATTGAACCGACTTCTGGGCGTTTTCCAGCCCTGAGATGTTATCCTGGATTGGGTGGAAGTATCTCTTGCGCGGCTGCGTACAAATTGAGAGGGGTACCAGAAGCGTTCCTGGAGAACTCAGAATGTGGTCTTTAGTTTGCAAGAGTTGTTTTTGAGAGTCTGCAAGAGATGACCGGGGCTTGTGCTTATGACAAAACGTGCACACCCTGGGAACGGTGCATCAACAGTACTCGAAGAGGAGATCCTTCGGGGGACGTTGAACCGACTTGGCCTTGTCGTGATTAACTCTTCCTCTTGGAATTTAATCCAAGGGACGTGCAAAGAGTGCTCGTGAGTCTTAACACGACAATTAATGTATTCTGGGCTGGTATGGAATTTTGTTAGAACGAAACGACGCTCTTCAGGAAGGCTGAGCCTCCGCCATTCCGCGGGAACGATGCGAAAGCCGCGGGTAATTTGCATGCGCCGGTAACAATGGGGCCTTATTACGCGAGTGGCTTAAGGGTAAGGACGCGGTTTCCTCGGTCCCGAGGAAATTCGTCCAGGAGACCCGACGACTCGGAAGAGGAGGCTGCTTCGTCGAGATGGAGCGCGGTTATACGGCGTCGCGTTGAACTCTCTCATCTCGGTTAAGCACCGACCTGAAAGACTTATGGGAATCGGCAGTCCGCGGAGGATACATTAAACTTAATAGTTCTCCGTATAATTGACGATCGAGGGAGCGCAAAACTTCCCGCGGCTCGGCTTTACGGCTTCATTGAACCGGACCCTGAGGAAGAAGGCTACGAGTGCTCACCCCGAAGCTCTTCGGCACTCCTCGAGTTTTACCTCCAGCTGGGACCAAAATGGCGGCCATCCCTTTTGCAAAGCACTGAAAATCGAAGGAATCGAAAAAAAATTGGAATTCTGAACCGAGGAACCCTGAAAAAGAGGGTTGTAAATGTTCACCCCGGCTCTTCGGCGCTCATCGAGGTCTACCTCCGACTGGGACCAAAATGGCCGCCACCCCTGTTGTAACGTTTTGCTAAGAATCAAGGGGAGCGAGAAAATTCGCATTTCTAATTCAAGAACCAAATCTTTGATGAAGTTTTCGCGTCTCTACCAAATCGCCCCTCAACGACGACACTCGTAGGATGCCCACCGACGGCGATCGTGTATACACGCGGCGGCGTCGTTTTCTCCCGGCGCCGGTGCCGTACGACTTCCGACACCGTTTTAATTGCCGGTCTAACGGTAGCGATCTATCCCTCTCTCTCGATCCTCGATCCTCGATCCCGAATCGTCCGAGAGTTCCTCGACCTTGCGACGTGCGCGATATCGGGTCGACGCGCTCGTCGACGCGTTCTCTGGGAGACAGAAATGGAGGACCTCTTCGTGGTCCTCTTCGAGGGCGCGCCGGCCCCGAGAAACCGTTCGCGATTTCGCCGATTTATCCCCGCCTAACGGCTCGGCCGTTGGAGCGTTAAATTCCCGGTAACCGGGGAAAATACGTAATCCTCAGTGGTTGTCGAAGAGGACCTCGAGGATGGCCGGCGATCGTCCTCGAAGAGCTCGAAGAGCGTCGCCGGTCCTCCAATGGCGGCTTTTTCAGCCGGCTCGTAAAAGACGGCCCCAGGTGATCGGGGCCTCCTTCTGACGATGTAAATCGACCGAGGGGACGGGACGTACGCGGAAAGAAGAACCGTTTACGTGTAATGACACCTGGAGATATTGGGCGCGCCGGTGCGGTTTTACGATTCTTCTTCGAGCAGCAAGAAGCTTTATCGCTGGTGATGACGATGACGACGGGGAACCTTCGGTTCACGAGGGATAAAATGGGTCCTCGAGTAGCCGACTTCTTTGGCGGGAATTTTAAAAGTTGCTTGGAAGAGGTACAAATAAGATCAAATAGAATGATCCAGGGAGAAAATGGGTCCTCGAGTAGCTTCTTCGGCGGGAGTTTTAAATTTCCTTGGAAAAGGTATATATAAAATTAAATTGAATAATCCTTACGTTGCACTCGCGTGGTGTTGGGTCTGTATCTTCTGTGTTCCCTGTCCCAGGTTTCCGGATGCCGCCTCCAGTCATCTTCCGTGGTCCCCGTTCCTCCTCCACCGGCTAAACTTTGAAGACCCTGAAGAGTCTGCAGAGCTTGCAGATTCGGGTTCAAAGGACTGTTTCTCAACGAAGGGACAGGGACATAAGCAGCACCCTCTCCTACGTACACCACCTGGAAGCCACGAGATAAAAGTTACGAAAACTCAAGTAAGCCTGATTTTATCTAAACGTCTAAAGTAACGTAATTTCATAAATAAAATGAAACTCCGGCGACCAAAATCTGAATTTCTCTGAATGATTTTTATGTAAGGTCACTTTTTGCGATAAATACGGCTTTTAAACCGTAATGAAAAATGTCTGAAAGACGCCACGTAACACAAAATTTTAGCCTTAACGACGTAATGTTGTAATTCCATTGATGAACCCCGAAATCCAAATCTCTGCACGTAACATATAATCTTGCCTAAATAATTTTATTCAAATGTCTTCATTAACGGCGCGCCAGTTTTCGGGGGGAAGGAGAGAACGAGAGATTTCGGAGATCCCGAGGAGCGTGACGGCACTCTACCCTGACCTCTCCCACGTTAACCAGTCAGGGGCAAACGTGGAATGGTCAGGGACTGCGGCTCGGAGAAAAAGGCCCGGCAGTCCCGAAGAACCTCGAGAAGAAGCAACCGCACGACTCGCGCGTGACTAACTCCTTTACGAGTTCATTCCCTGGCCCCACCAGGAAGGTACACGCAGGAAGACGCAGGTACACGCAGGTACTTCCCCCGGTGGCCGTGCGCCGTTCTCCGGGAATTCACCTGGCAGCTTAATGCCTTCCTTTCCCTTCCTGCATTTTCTGGCCGGCGCGCGTTAGCGCGCCCTGAAGAAGTCTCCCCGGATGGGCTTTCGCCGTTGGCATCGGTCACACTTACCCTCTTCCGAGGTCGTCACGAATTGCCTACAAAACTGCGGATCATTCCTCTTCCGGACAATACATGGACTTTTATTTCACCGTGAGAATTCCGACGAGAGTAAATTTTCCCGAATTTTGGAGCCAAAACGTACTTGGCGAGGAACTGTATCGAGCCCCGTGCCAAAACGTACTTGGCGTGGAACTGTATCGAGCCTCGTGCCAAAACGTACTTGGCGAGGAACCCTACTAAATTTTCTGCCAAACTGTATAAGGAGTGAAATTGTAATTGGCACGAAACTATAGGGTGTCTTCATAAAGTGTTTCCGGTATAATGATGTATTTGGGGTAAAGCACTCTTTCTCGTCGATATGTCTATGGGGCGAAGTTGTACTTGGCGCGAGACTCTGTCGAGTTCCTCGATCCCCTTCACTCGGAGTATCTCGGTGACTTCTCTTCGGTCGGGGAGGCTGTCGTTGCGCAACAATACGTTGGCTAACTCTCGGCGATATATATCGGTATCGAGGCTCCGGATCGACCGGTCGATCCTACGAGGGGATTAGCGGTCGTGCGGTCTGGGTGTCGAAAGTCATTACGTCTGCCGCCTTTGCTCCAGGGAGGTCGGGTGAACGCACCGAAATGCGGACGAGGATGCGAAACCGGCTTCGAGATCGGGATCTGGAAACCGTCCTGGGAAGGATGCGCGCGAGGACGAGGCGTAGGTGTCGGAGGATGCGTCGGATGCCCCAGGATGCACCTATCGACACCCGATACCGATAGGCGTATCCTGCGGTCACCTGAGAATCTCTCGTGCGAAAGAGTCCATATTAAAAGATCTTTCGAATGGATGAATTAAAAAAAATCTATCCTTCAAAGAAATCCATTAAAAAAAAAATCTTTCGAACAAGACATCCCGTTAAACAAAAACCTACATTAAAAAAAAACATTCGTGCCAACGAGTCCGTTTTAAAAAAATGTTCCGCGCGGAACAGTCCCTTTAAAAAAAATCCTTCAGGGGAACGAGTCCTTCTGGAAGAATCTTTCGTGCGAAGAGATCCAATTGAAGACAATCTTGCGTGCAAAGGAGTCGGTTTTAAACATTGACGGGGAACCTCCTCTTCGTCCTTGATTAAAAAAAAAAAATCACTTTTTTCTTTTTTCAGGCGCCACGGTGCAGTAGGAGGCAGTGATTCTTCAGGATGCGGCGATTAAGTGCGATTATCCGGTCCGGAGCAGAAATCCTGCCCGAGGGCGGAATCGCGAATCCTGTCCTGGGGTAACGACGGGTTGTCCAGGATACGTCGCGACCCGTAACGAGTATATACGTTGGAAAATCTGCGTGGAGAGGAGGAATCGCGCATTCTCTCCATCTTGAACCTCTTTTCTCCTCTTGTTGCTCCCAGGAGCCTCGCAGGAATGGGATCTGGTTTCGGAGAGACCGCGGCTAGAAAAGCGGACCTCTTTCCTATCCTTCTTTTATCGTGTCTCGGTTTTTATGCCCCTGCTTTATCTTCTCCTCCGCGTCGTCCGCTCTCCTGTGCGCGAAGGATGCACTCTCTCTATCCCTCTTTTCGAATTCTTATCTTCTGCGCTTCCTCCGCTGGCTCCATTCCGCTTGCGGATGCACCGTTCCTCGATGGCCGATACAGCTAGCTGGAAAAGCCGCATCCTCCTTTTCTTCCTCTCGTCGAGGTGGTCCCATTCTTCCTTTTCGACCTTGAAACCGGCGAGATCGCACTTCCGGTGCATCTCAGGCATTCCTCGTCGACGATTATCGCGCATGAGGCTTAATTTCATTTCCTCTTTATTATCCCTCGCTCCTGAGGCAGAATAAAATTCTTACGAGGTCTTCCAAGAATCTTGAAGCCTCTAATATTTATTTTTAATTTGCAGGAGACCCTAAGTCGGTGGTAAAAAATTCTTCACGCAAGTATCAATTATTTGTTGTGAAGAAAAATTGACGTTGTCAGTTTAATCGAATTTTCTTACTCGATCCGACATTCCTTTGGACGCGTTTGATCGCAGGATTGTTATGTCAGAATTTCTTAGAGTTAACTAACATTTCTTTTCAGTGCATCGCAATTCTTCACTTCGAGTGGCAGACCTCCTTTCATTTGTTGTCCTTCGGGTAGACTAAAATTCTTCCGATGTTCTTTCATAGGTACATTAATACATCATTTGTTATTAACTTACAAATTAAAAAAAAAAATTTATCCACGCACTCACCGCATCGTGATCACTCGCTTCGTGGGCCAGGGCCTCCTTGGTGTCGTTCTTGGTCGAGTCCTCTTCTTCAGGGCCCGATCCACTTCCGGCCCAATAGTCCTCGGTGGCGTCCTCGGAGGTGCTCTCTTCGGCGGCGTTCTCCAGCTCGGGACTTTCCTCGGAGGCCTGAAACGGATCAGTCCATCGAATCCAAGCCGGTTCCCAGGACGAGGGGACCACTTACCCAGCACCTGGAGGTCCCGACGACCAGCATCCACACGACGACGTACCTAGAAGAAGAGAAGCGATCGATATTAACTTCATCCTGGCCTGACAACGATAAATCGGAGACGAGTCCTGGAGATTAATTCCTACAAGTCGTGCGCCCTCGGACGGCGATAAATCGGGGGCGGGTCCTCGAAATTGCGGGGCCTAGGGGCCTTGCGAATTATGCGCGGGAATTTTTGAAAACTCTGGAAGGAACCCGAAGAGGGTATTGGAAATCACGATGACCCTCCAGACATGTAATCAGGCGATAACAGCGCACCCAGGGCCAATGGGCGTTACACAATCTCGGCGCAATCACGGGGAAACCGAGAGAAAGGCTTTCCGAGGGGACTCGATTATCGATCTCGCGATTCGAGAGCGATTCGCGATAGAAGAGAGGAAGCGTCCAGCGGGGAGAAAATGCTCGCTTCCGAGCGACTGGTCCTCGATAAGTAAGCGAGATTACCGGAGAAGGCGCCGACTTCGGCCCCTATCGATCCTGGGATCGATCGATAGATCGATCGCGTTCATTGTGCGTCGCCGTTCCCATCGGGTGGGTTAGGTTCGCGCACAATGCGTAACGCGTAACGATCCGTGTCAGTCCGTTTCTCATAGAAGGGATCCCCCCTGCCGATCGGAGAGGACTTCCTTCTCCCTCCAGGAGTCAGGTGGAGGATTCCCCCTCCTCGGCAGGACGACCTCGCTCGTCCTTGTCGCTGGTACCGGGACCGTTAAAGCGCAAGAAGAGGCCTGCGAGCCGTTTTACCGCTCCCGACCGCAAACCGAGGTGATTGAGAGCATTGTTACACAACCCGGCATTGTCCTACATGCGTCGGACGCGCGTAAGGAGCCCTCTTCCTACGCGTGCCCCTAGGCCGGCCATTACCGCGGACGCAGTAAAAAGTAACAGGGCTCTCATTTATACGAGCCGAGTCTCCCCCCTCTCTCTCTTTCTCTCTGTCCACAGAAGGAGCAAATGAAAGTCGATTGCAGTACCGGAATTATGCACCGTTCGTTGGCCGGCGCCTCTAAGAATCGGCCAACAATGCCAGGCTGCTGCTCCTGGGGGCGGCCATCTTGGAATCGAGCCGGGGAGCGTCTCGAGGTCTTGGAAGAGGAATCGAGAACAATTCGTTCGTTCCCGATCCCTCTTCGAAGTAGCGGACGATTCGCCGAGGACTATTCTTGCCGTGAGTCGGTTCCTATTTCTAGAAGGATCGTATCAAATGCGATGTGCATTTGACGCGATCGAGGGACGCGACCTTAGCGTGGGCGCCGCCATCTTGGATGGACCCTACGGGTAGTAGGTCGAATAATCGTTTACGGGGAGGTTTAGCTGATTGATTATGGAGCAGAACGAAGTCGACGGCTGTTTTGGAGGTTTTATTGGGAAGATCGAAGAGACAACCTGACCCACTGCGCGTCAAGACATGCGGAATCGCTCCCGCGTTCTCGGGATTGCTTGGGGATACCTCGAGGTGTATGTAAATGCGCTCCGCAAGAAGAATAATGGGAACAACTGAACGAGGAAGGCGCGTGCCGCCCGGAGCTACGCGGCCCGTTCATTCGACCTATCTTAAGCGAGATGAGCTATTAATTAGATTAACATTGCCTCCGCGAGCGGCCGGCTCCGTCATTACGCCATTATTGTGCCATTTCCGCGCGGCGCATCTCTCGCGCATCGGCCAGCCGATGCGCGCTTATGCGGCAAACGGACGCGTCCGTCTTGCCGCGGGATTTTTACGCCCCTAACCCGCGAGGCTGCGTGCCCAAGAACCGTGAAGCATCGCGTGAACCATCGCGAGAGGAGCTCGATTTAACCCAAGACAGACGGCGAGGAAGCGAGCTCGAAAACTTTTGAGCGCCCGGGATGCAGGAGAATGCACCGAGCCTAAAAGATCGACGCGGAACCCCCGCGACGATTCACGGATATAGCCCCGGTTTATTAATTCCCGTTAAGTTTCCGTTTCGACGGGGAGAAATTTATCTCTCCAACTTTTACAGTCCGTAAAGCCCTGAGATTGAAGCTAACCCCAAGAGCGGAGGTTTCAAAACATGGACCTAAAAGCAAGATGGCGGGTCAGAGGGAAGATACGAACAGTGATCTTGCTGACATCCTTACGAATTTCAAACTCATATAAATCCAATCTCAAGTACACGAGTGTCATTTCGAATTTCTATGTCCCAGGTCTATAAAAACAATGTACAACGTAGCTTTTCAATTTTTACGCCGTTTAGTGTTTTATCATATTTCAAAAATGGCGCCGTATAGACACTTTGACTACCATTGTTCATGAATTCAAGATTGCATTTTTGGGTGCAACATGCACAGTGCATACAGACGGCCATTTTGGATGCGCGTGAGCATGCGCGGCGCTCTGACGCGGCCCGCATCATGCGGGTCCCTTCAGAGGGCGGTGTCAAGGGTGGCTGCGCGCGCATCGTGACATAGGGGTGAGTCATTCGTTCGCCGACGCGCGACGGGGACGCATCGGAGGAGGCGGAGGTGGAGCTCCCGCCATCTTGCCACGAGAGGGTGCGTAGGAATTCCAGCAAAGAAGAGGGAAAAAGTGTTTCGCACGTTCCCAAGTGTTTATGACGTCCCGGGTACCTCGTTAATCGAATCGTCCTCTTCAGGGACCAGGACGAGGGGACTTCGTGGACCAGTTGGGAACCCATGGACGGTACGCGTGGCAGCGTCCTGGTCGACATGGACTAACGAGTGACGCGTGCTGGGACTACTGTTAGCCGGAATCGCCATCACCGCCAGGCCTCGTATAGAGCCCTAAACCCGGCAATAACGGAGAATCGCTCGCTCCCGTAAAATCCAGCAGCAATTTCCGCGACCGCAGCGTAATCGATAGAATTGTGCAGCGACTCCGCCCACTTCATGCCCATGGTCCATCAGCATTCGCCGGGCCCTCGCAACTGATGGGGCCTTCGACTCATGAGGTGTATGATTACCCGTTAGAGCCTCATATATTGGACACTTCGGTCGACTCTATGTAACCGTCGAGTTTACACGTGCCGGAAAATTGACAGCGTCTTCCGCAGCGTCTCGTAGCGTAATCGGCAAAATCGAGTCAATCTTATCGCGCCGCTCCTTCGACATAACCGACATTAATCGACGTTTAGAGATGCTCATTTCCCGGCATTTAGGCGGGCCGATATCCGCATCCGGGTTATTATTATTTATTTTCCTCCCTACTATGTATCTCTATCGGGAAGATGCTTCTTCTATTTTTAGCGGCTGAAGAAAGAGCTCGATATGCAAGGCCGATAGGCGGATTCTCCAGACACTACGAGGAAAAGAATCCCCAACGCGGCGATAAGAGAATCCTATAACACGTGGGACGTTGTCAGTTGGGACATGCAGAGGAGGCGAGGCAGGAACGACCATGTATCTCGAAAGGAGGACGAAAGAATAGCGAAGATTGCAAGAGATAGGAAGCCCGTTCCAGAAGATCTCCAGGAAGACCACCAAAACTCTGGAACGTCCTCGCCATTAGATGCGCCTTAATGTAACACGAAAGAAGTACAGCAGTTCATGAAACGTTCCGTCAAATACCCCAGATCGTTCGAAATTCTACCACGTGAATTCCATGAAATTTCACTTTGTATGGAAAATTAAAAAATCTATTGTAATCAAATTTCACGGATGTCGGGACCTTCTCTAGGGTCTCCATATTGGCGAGGTGAAATTTCAAACGATTCGGCACACCCGGTTAAATAGTGAAACACGAGCTCTGGGCTTGGCGCAGGAAGAGAACCTCTATAAAAACGAAAGGAATGATCGACATATCCGACAAGATTTGATAAGATTTCGCGTCCAGGAATGGCGGATGGGGCGCACGCGCACCGCTCGATGTGGATTAACGAGCGACGCGTGCTGCCGGATGGTCAAGGCGCGTCCATAAGCGGATATTATAATTTCGAGTAGCGGCCCGTGGCCCGAGATACGCCTCGGAGTAGCCGTTAGTAGCCCGTCGGCGGCTGCCGCGCGGCTACTCCGCGGCTGCTCGGCCGCGCCGCAGCGGGGGACCGGAGCCACCACCACCGGCTTCTTACTTGGGCCCGGGTAAGAAGCGATCATAAGTCGGCCGTAATTGCCGGCCGCCTCGCGTTTACTCGCTTTACTCGGTTACTCGCTCGCTCCCTCGCGTAAACCCCGCCTCGGCGTCGTGTTACGCGGTGATTAACGTTGCCGAGCGGCCTCTCCGCGGATCGCGAGCGGATTTCGCTCCACTTACGCAACGGGGGGCCCCGAGTGGCGCCGAGCCGGCCTGCGGCCTCGAAACTGGCCAAGGTGATCCTAACCTCCCCGGAGGACGCGCAACGTGGCCCCGATTAGTGACTCGACGGCACCTAGATAGATATGGTGATTACCACGGTCGTCGTTTTAAATATTCTCGTAATCATCTCTTTTGAGCGACTGGGTATTCGGAGTCAATATATCTTACGGCCATGTTTGAATTCCCGCGGAAATAAACAAGATGGAGGATGGAAGGCCCTGCCATAGACCATAAATATCTAGACCTCGCATAGCAGTGGAAGGGAGAAACGAATGTACCACGTGTCCGACGACTCACAATTAACGCCATTCTACTTACTGAAAATCTGGGACTGGAAGGTCCCATGCGAAGTCTAGATGTACATGGTCTAAGGCCCCTGCGAGTTCTTGTCTGCGGCGATTCATTGTCTCGATCGTTTTCGTCGCTTCCATCGTCAGCTTCAGGCTCGACCGACGTCATTACACGCAATAATCACGCGTGCCGGGCGCGTTCGCAGGGGCGCATTGTAAAAGCGCAGTTACGCCGCGAGCCGGTGCATTCGCACGGGCGAATTTGCATGTAACTGCAATTAAGATCCTGGGCTGCGTTAACAGCCGAGCACCGCGGCGTGCATCTCCCTCTCTGTCTCTCTCTGTTTCTAGGCCTCTCCTCCGGGGGGCTCTGTTGTTCGCTGCTCGTTCATCGGTTGTTCGCCGGTTGTTCGCGTTCGATGCCGACAGGTGGCAGCGCCG